AAGGATGCTCATGGTTGCCGTCCCAGGAATGGTGTTCTGGCACGGTTTAGGATTGTGAGAGCGCAGCAGTCAGGTTGATTCGCTGTTGAAATCCCAGGAACGGCGTCCTGGCGCGATGCAGAATCGTCCGGGCACAGCTGTAAAGTTGATTCGCGGTGTTGAAGTCCAAGGAATGGTGGTTTGGCACGGTTCGACGATTCTCATACAGTTGTCGTCAGACAGAACACTTCCAGCAGCGAGTATGAATTCTGTAAGAACCTAGGAGCGGGAACTAGGAGGGAGGGTTGATTGTTACATCGTTGATGCGCCGTGGGTTTACACTGGTCCTCCTCCTCGTCCTCTTCCTCTTCCTCTTCCTCTTCCTCCTGCCTCCTCCCTCCCTCCCCCCCTCCCCCCTCCCTACGCGCAGTCGGGTCGGAGTGGTCAGGCAGCCTACTCGCGACTCTCCCCCATCGGTCTGCCCTCCTACCGAGATGGAAGTTTTGGATCTGCGTCCCAAACTTTCTCTCGCCTCTCGGTTATCATTTATGCCTCCCCCTTCCTCCTCCCTCCGCGTCTTAGTGGTCTATGATAGGCTCGTGACTGGGCAGGAGACGGGTGTGAGGTCTCACCCACACTTGGTGCCGATGCTAATAATATACTTGTTGCATGTCTGCGCGTAGTTATAGTCAGCGAGCGCCGCCATCATCTGACAGCCAAAACAACTAATCGGGAGTGCAATCAAAAAAATCCCCATCCCTATTATTCCTCCTCCTCCTCCAACTTATCCTCTTCCTCCACCTCCTCCTGCTAGCTGCTAAGCCAGGGCGCGAGGAGATGACGGACGAGGAGAAGGAGGAGGAGGAGAAGGAGGAGGAAGAGGAGAAGGAGGACGAGGACGACGACAACGACGAGGACGAGGACGAGAACGAGGAGGGAGGCGGGGAGAAAGAGAACGGAGGGGAGAGGGAGAAGGGAGGAGAGGATTATAGGGAGAAACAGCAGCAGCAGGATCCACAGGCACAGGAAGACACAATGGAGAAACAGCCGCAGAAGGTGCCCCAGTGGGTGGAGGGAGGCTTGGACATCTACATGTGTATATGTGTGTGTGCATGTGCATGTACGTGCATATATCTATACCTATACGACCACCCTGCGGGTGATAAGGAGGTTGGGGGGGAGGGGGGCGAGCAATGGGCAACAGTGGTGATTGTTGCGTTGCCGCTCGCTCTTGGGACCATCGATCCCACTATCGATCTCACTCGATCGATCTCACTATCGATCTCACTCGATCGATTTCACTGTCGACCTCACTCTGGATCTCGCTATCGATCCCACTATCGATCTCCCTATCGATATCACTCGATCTCACAATCGATATCACTATTCATATCACTATCGATCTCACTATCGATCTCAGGATCGATCTCACTATCGGTCTCACTATCGATCTCACTATCGATCTCACAATCGATTTCGTCATCGGTCCCACTATCGTTTTCGCACCAGCGGGACACCGGGACACCGGCGGGACACCGACGGGACACCGGCGGGACACCGCGGGCCACCGCTTGCCAGAGGAAGAATCATTTGGTCCGGCCGGGACCCAACAAGCGGGACACCGGCGGGACACCGGCGGGACACCGCGGGCCACCGCTTGCCGGAGGGAGAATCATTTGGTCCGGCCGCGCCTCAGCCACAGGAGACTTTCTTTTCGCCCGCCCACGCAATTCGCCTGGCCCGCACGCACGGCACGCACGAACACGAAACCGAAACCAATTTCCCGGTGGGGGGCTCTCCGTTCCACTTCGATATCACCCCCCAGCCTCCGATATATATATATATATATATATATATATATATGTATATATATATATATATATATACATACATACATACATAAATGTATATAGAGAGAGAGAGTATATTTTTACAAGCCCGGGCGGGGGGACCCCCCCCCCCAAAACCGGACTCTCGGGATCTGGGGCTTTGGGACCCTTCGGACGGGCCTCGAAGCGGCCCCCCGGGCCTCGCAGGGCGTTTTGCCAAGCCTTCGCAGCACACCTAGGGCGATCAGGGGGGTCATCGGAGACGTTCCAGAGAACCCCAAGACAGCACAAGAGCGCTCCAAGAAGCCGTCATACCCCGAAAGACCACCCTGACTGACCTCCAGCTTGTCACCTTGGATTGGGTTGGATGGATTGGATGGGGTTGGATGGATTGGATTGGGTGGGATAAGATAAGATGGGACAACTTGGGTTGGATAAGATAAGATGGATTAATAAATTGGACCAGATGGATTGGATCAGATAAGCTGGATTGGATAAGAAAGCCCGCCGCAGGCGCCGACAAAAATGAATTGATGGATTGGGTTGAGTGAATTGAACTGGATGGGATAAGATGGATTGGATAAGATAAGCTGGGTTGGATTGGGAGAAATGGATTGGATATGATAAGATGGATTGGATTGGCCCGCCGCAGGCGCAGAAACAAATGAATTGATGGATTGGGTTGGGTGGATTGGATTGGGTGGGATAAGATAAGATGGGACAAGATGGAGGTGGATAAGATAAGATGGATTGGATTGGACAGATGGATTGGAGAAGATAAGCTGAATTGGTTAAGAAAGCCCGCCGCAGGCGCCGACAAAAATGAATCATGAAATTAGCGACATGCATTAGCGCCGGGACGCCCGGGACACCCGGGACACCGCCCGGCCCAACTGGGACACATCCCGGCCACCGGCGGACGGGAAACGGACTTTCGCTCCTACGACACACGGGACACCCGGGACACCGCCCGGCCCAACGAGGACACCTCCCACCCACCAGCGGACAGAAACGGACTTTCGCTCCTACTTCGGCCTAGCTGCAGGAGGATCACGCGCAGCTTCGCCTCGCCCGCACGCATGACACGAACACGAAACCGAAACCGATTTCCCGGTGGGGGGTCTCCGTTTCACTGCGATCTCACCCCCAACCTCCGAGAGAGAGAGAGAGATATATATATATATATACACATACATACAAGACTGCAGTGGCGCTTCGCGCCATGCACCTTGGTCCTTGAAGATTGGTATGCAGACGGAAATGGCAGGAAGGTCAAGCGGACAATTTTGCGATAATTCCTTGCTGCCTTTTCTGGCATCGCCGTTATAATAATGTTGTTCGTTATCCCTCCTCCATGCTCATGTTTCCTCATTCTCGCCATACCCTGGGTCTTCTCCCCATCCTCCTCACCTACTTTTGCGGAGGCTCCTCCTTGGAGAGCCTCTGGGGGCCTCACCAAAGTTCTCAGGCTTTCTTAAAGCCTTCTGGAGGCCTCCTGGACGTGTTCTGGGGGCCTCTGGGGCTTCCTAAGGCCAACCTTCCTCTAACCGCAGTCTCCCTGAACGCCCCGGTCACGATTTGGAATGCTTCGGAAGGTGTCTTGGGGCCATCTTGGGCCGCCATGGGGCTCTCTTATGGCCATTTTGGATCCCTGTTGTGCCGGTCTGGGGCTCTCTTGGACTGCCTGGAAGCCGTTTCGGATGGTTGCGGGGCGATTTTGGAGCCTCCCAGGCGACTTCGGACGCCCAGAAGACCGCTGTCTTGGAGCGTCGGGAAGCTGGAAAGAGGAAAACCCGAAATTCACCAAAAACCTACATTAAGTCGATGATTATTCCCTCTTGGGGCCTTCTTGGGGGTGCTCTTGGAGGCCTCTTGGTACGTTTTGGAGCGATCTTTCGGGGTATGACGGCTTCTTGGAGCGCTCTTGTGCTGTCTTGGGGTTCTCTGGAACGTCTCCGATGACCCCCCTGATCGCCCTAGGTGTGCTGCGAAGGCTTGGCAAAACGCCCTGCGAGGCCCGGGGGGCCGCTTCGAGGCCCGTCCGAAGGGTCCCAAAGCCCCAGATCCCGAGAGTCCGGTTTTGGGGGGGGGGGTCCCCCCGCCCAGGCTTGTAAAAATATAGGAAGAGGACCATATATATATATATATATATATATATATGTGCACGTGTGCATGTATGCATGTGGGTGTTAAAATATGTATGCGTGGGTGTATACATGGACGCATGTTGGTTTGTTTGTGTATGGATGTACGGATGTGTATGCATAGTGTGTGCATGTGTGTACGCATGTACGCTGTTTGCACGTCTGTCCACAGTTGTGTACATATATCCATATATAGTTATATCTATAAAGAGAAAAGGAGAGAGAGATGCGTGTGACTGTGTATACGTACGCCTGTAGCTATGTGGGCAAACTGGGCACCTAGCTGATCACAGATGCACAGGCTGTAAAAAAATATCACATGGTTCGGCGGTAGACACACATGTATGGGAACACCGAGGGTGCGAGATATCAAAAGGGATAACGAAGTCTTGTATGTCTAACCATAGACATGCATGCACCTATGTTAACATATGTGTGCACAGACACATCGAATGAGTGCGATATCTGTAAAATGTAGACACACGCGTAGCGACAGCGATGGCGATAGCGATACAGACACTAATCCAGAAAGAGAGAGAGGGGTTTCTCAAGGCGGCGGGAAGGAGAAGAGAGAGCAGGATGAGGGGGCTCCGAATACAGCGCGCGCTTGGGAGAAGAGTCGCGCCACATTCGCCCAGACTTGCGAGGGAATAGTTACCCATCTCGTCGTTGTCCTCGTCGCCGTCGCCGCCGTCTTGTCCGATTTGCCGACCTGCACTACAAGGTTCAATGGGCGAGATTGCGTGAGTCTGTTGTACCCGATCCGCTGTCGGCAGTGTTGTTGGGTCAACTGGCACCAGACGGCGTGGAAAACTCTGGACTCGGACAGCGGGGCGACAATTAAATTGGCCGTCGTGCACCCAAGGGGGGAAAAATGGTAGTTACCGTGTGCAGCAGACGGGCTGGTGCAAAATCGAACTGGCGACTCCTTATCTCCGCTACGATTGCTGGAAAATCCTCTCAGCTCGCTTTGCAGAGCCATGCCTCTCGTCGCATGCGTTCGCTTCGAACGACTGCGCGGGTAGAACTTGAAGAAGCATCGGCATTGAGAAGGGAAGAAAGCATACACTGAGCAAAGGAATCGTGCGACCAGCAATTTGGTGATCGAGGCACCCTCTTCAACCTGGAAATGTAATGACGCTCGCCAATAGGTCTCATGCGAAATACCCCATGGATCGATATGGGAGTACTATACCGAACATGGCGATGACGACCGACTGCGACGACGATGACAGCTCCGTCGACGGGGATAGGGGATGTAAGCGAGACGACTGCATAGCGTACATGGTGCGTTTCCATACTACAAGCTGCCCTATCACACAATGCGGTCGCAACTCCGGCCGCCTTCGATGAGTACTCTCGGATCTTGTGGGAGGAATCCTTGATCTGGCCCATCACCCGCTGGCCGCCTCTGCACAGGAGGAAGGGCCAACCCTGTGAAGGCATCATGACTGGAGCCTATAAAAAGCAGAGATGCGAAAATCCGCCGACCCAATGCGGGTCTCTAGGCGTGTGAGATTGTTCCCCCCCTTTTACCCCCCTCCCAAAGACCCCCAAACCGGAAATTTGACCCCCCCCCCCTCGCACGGCACGAGCGCGGTATGGGGGGGATGGGTCCCCAAACGTTCCAAGAGGGTCCCGAAACGCACCTAAGACTGTCCAAGAAGGCCACGAGTCGCTGAAAGATCGCTCCAAGTCCCGAAGATGGTCTTCAGAAGGCCCAAGATGCCCCCAAGACGCCCGAAACGGCGTTGAAGACGGCCCAAGAAGCCCCAAGACCACCCCAGGACGGCCCAAGAGACCCCGAAGAAAGCCAAGCAAGAGGGCCCCAAGACGGGCCAAGAGGCGCCTGAGACAGCCCAAGAGAGTTCCAAGACGGCCCCAAGAAGGGCCTGAGAGTGGGAGCCCGAACCGACCATTTCATTCGAGCTTTCCGTCCCAAGATGCACCCAAGAGGCCTCAAGATGCCCCAAAGAAGTTCCAAGGGGCCCCCAAGATGCCCCCAAGACGCCCCAAGAGGCCCCAAAACGAGCCTCAAAAGGGTTCAAAACTGCTTCCAAGAGGCCCCCGAGAAGCCTCACAAAGCGGTTAGAGGGAAGTGGTCGGGAAGAGAGCCCCAAGATGGCCCCAGAGGTCTCCACGACGGTGGAGGCCGCAGCCTACCCCCCCCCCCCCCCCATGCATAAGCCGAGCCGAAGCCGAGGCCGCTGGGCCCTGGCATGCAGCTTTTTCGACGGCGCGAACAGCTTTCCTGTGTGCGTGGGTAACTTGGTCTTCGCCGCGCTAGTGCGTCGCGCGCGCGCGCCATTCTGGCGCAGCCAGCGTGAACTTCAATCCGACCCCATTGCAGATCGCTGCGAGCGCGATCGTTTGAGCATGCTTCGCGCAAGCTTCTGCATGTAGCGTGCTTCTCTTGTCCTTAGTGCGATGCGCGCGCCCCGACGCGCACGCCTGCGCTTGCACTGCCTGACTCAGTGGGCACCGCGATAGTTTGCTGGTATACGGATCTTTCTTGCTGTTCGTCGGCTCGACTTCTTTGGCTTCTTTGCGCGCGAGCAGGCATCCAACGGAATCGTCCTCGAGATGCAGGCGTTGTGTGCCATCATCCGCTTATGTGTTGTTGAAGGTTTACAAAAAAGAGGGGCCGACTTACTACGGCGAAACAGGTGTGTCTCCTTTCTCTCTCCCCCGCTCGTCCTGCGGCCCAGGTTCCCTCCCGCGGAAATCGATCCCCCCGTCCGGGAACCAGTCCCGCGATGCACGGCGAGCGCTCAATCAAGACGCGCCCCCATAGTGGGCCATTGGGGTTCTCGCGGGGCGGGCTCGGATAACATCGAACAGACAAAATGGCGCGTTCGTCGATGGCCGCCGCGGACGGAGCCAAACATATAGCCTCTAAGCTCTAAGGGCTCTCTCGGGGCTCCGAATGTGCCGCGTGGGGGCCTGGAAAGCGTATCGGGATTATGCGTGGGCCCTTTTTGGGCTTCTTCTGCGCAATATCGGTGCAAAATTGAAGCCCCATGTCTCGTCTCCATTTCCTGGACCCTCTTAGTCTCGTCTCCTCGGCTCTCCTCCTTTCCCCCTTCCCCCGTATCTCGCCCCCTTATATCATCGACCCTCCTCTGCCCTCCTCGTCTCCATCTCCTTCACTTGTTCGTGTCCATGTGCTCGTCTAACTCCGCCCCGCCGTCACCCCCGGGGTCCTCGTCCCTGTCTCCTTTACCTCGCCTGCCCCCCTCGCCCCCTTTGCCCCATCCCATCCCACAACCTCGACCCGATCTCCTCGCCCTCCTTTTCCCCTCGTCGCCCCGTCACCCCCCCGACCCCGCGTCCCTTGTATCCTGCTCGTACCCTCGTCGCGAACCATCGTGGGCAATCGCCACAGTCAGGCAAACTGCGTGGACCGATTCTTGTGCCCGAGCAGCATTTCGGCTCTCAGCTTTGCCCTGGGTTTGCCTCGGCTGTCCCACCGCTGTCCCGCCGCTGTCCCGCCGCTGTCCCGCGGATGTCCCGCGGCTGTTCCGTCTGACGGACCGCTTTGCCTCGGCTGTCCCGCGGCTGTCCCGCGGTTGTCCCGCGGCTGTCCTGCGGCTGTCCCGCGGATGTCCCGTGGCTGTCCCGCGGTTGTCCCGCGGCCGTCTGGCGCTGTGCTGGTGCGGCTCGGCGTTTTCTTGGGGTTCTGGCAGGCGTTTTGTGCTGGTCTTCATTCCCACCAGCCGGCAGCTGTTGGTGCTGCAGCGACCAAGCATCACCTGCGCCCCTCTCATCATTGCCGCTTCATTGCGCGATAATCGGCCAACGCTCCAATACATAGGCCTCCTTCCTGTTTGTTCCTTCTCCTCCTCCTCCTCCTCCTCCTCCTCCTCCTCCTCCTCCTCCTCCACCTCGTCCCCCTCCTCCTCCTCCTCGTCCTCCTCCTCCTCCTGTTCGTCGTCCCGTTCCCCTCTGCGTCCCTCTGTTGTTTCCCTTTTCTTCCGCCGTCGTTCGTTCCTTGTCACTCCTCCGTCCTCCCTCCTCCACCCTCCGTGGTAAAGTGCGCGAATAGTCGAACATGAACCCGCCCGAAACGTGAGACGACAGAAATCCCACCAAACTTCTGGGCGCAGGTGGTTTAACGATAAACTGTGCATGCTCACTTCTTCGCCTTCGGATAGGGGCTCACGCCGTCGCTGGCACACTCTCCAAGGGGCGTGAACCGAGGCTTCGCTCACGTGCCAGGGAATCCGTTTTGACCCAGGATGGCTCCAAAAGGTTCTCGGTGTCCCAACGTGGCCTTCAAGACGGCGCAACGTACCCCAAATTGGGCCGATGCTGTCTCTACTGTGCCACTTAGAAGCGCCAGGTTGGCTTCGAAACAACTCAAGGTGTCCACGGGCCTCTTTTGGATGCCCCCGAGGGGCCAACATGTTTGAATGATGCAACTTGTTTGAATGCTTCTTGTTGTTTCGCCATGTTGCTACTGTTCCTGACAAGGGGCGCGACAACGGATCATAGCGCCGATTTGCTCCCGGTCCACGAGACTGCATAATCTATTGATATGTGCTGCGAAAGGCGGATGCATGCGCATGTTTCCGCGTGCTTTCGTTCACGCGCGCGCGCATTCGCTCACGCCCGCAAGGGCAGTGGTCACTCTGCCCACGAACCCCTGCCCGCTTGTCTCTGAATGTTCGTAGTTACGTGTGCGTGCTTCCCTTCGTATGCATACACAAGGTTGCGTACCCCGCCAAAACCTGTACTTGCTCATCGGTTGTGGGGGACACGTACTTGCGCACGCCCGCGCCGCCCCAGGTGTTGCATGCGCCTGCATGTGCCCACTTGTCCGCAGTTTGCCGCTTGAGCACAGTCCTGCCGCGGCTCCTCCACGCCCGCGCGGCGTCGCACAGCTCCATGTCCGCGTCACTTTGCGCCAAGAACCGTTGCCCCACTGCTGCCCAAGACCTCCCCGATGCGACCCCGTCGCTGTGCTACAGCAGCGCTGCCGCTGCCGCTGCCGTCCTCCGCCGCCGTCCTCCGCCGCTGTCCCTCCCTGAATTTCCCTAGGGAGCGATGGCCGCGCCGCTGTCCCGCACCTGTCCCGCGGCTGTCCCGCCCGCCTCTTTCAGTGCACGGGGTGGTCGCCTCGACGGACGCAAGCCGCGGCCTTCTCTCAACCCCAAAAACCTCGAAGCAGCTCCACGAGAGGGCCCCGACGGGAATGAGTGAACGGACATCTCGAGCTCTCAGTTCCGACCGGGTTCTAGGAAACCGCAAGAGCCCCCAAGAGGCCCCCAAGAGGCCTGAAGAGTCCCCCCGCCTTTCCGGGAAGCCCCAAGTCAAGTCAAGTCAAGAAGCCATACGCCCGTCGGCGCGTGGGCGAGACAACGCATTACACTGTACTGCTCCTGGTGGGCCTTGCCTCGGGCAGGGCGCGCGGGCAGAAGAATGCGAAAGTTGGTGCCGCGACGGACGCTAGAGAGCAAACCGCATCACGACTGCGACGCAGAAAAATAACGGAGCGCCCCGGGAAGCCCCACGAGGCCCCAAAAGCTCCCAAGAGACTCTCACGTGGCTCCCAACGACCCCACCACTAGCGCCTCCCCAAAAAGAGCCTCCCAGACACTCCGAAATCATCCAAAAAGCTTCCTTGAAAACCCTGACCAGCAAGCCAGACACGGTGGCGGGATGGGCCGAAGGCCGTTCGATATCTGACGCTTCTCCTCCTCCTCCTCCTCCTCCTCCGCCTCCTCCTCCTTTTGCTCTTCCCTCTCCCACGTCCTCCTCCTCCTTCTAACATTATCCTTCTCATAATCGTCAACTTCCCTCTTACACGCCTTCCAAGTCCTCCTTCCACGGACTTCGCTCTGTGTAGTGCCATTGCAGAGTCCATCTCCAAACCTGTCACCCGAACGGGCATCATTTGCATGACTTGCATTTCAGGGTGCACTTTTTCGGCGCGCGCGACACAATCAGCCCCCACGGAGAACGCTGACCTCGGCCATTGACGCTGGCACGTGTCACTGCGCTGATAAACCTGCCAACTGCGCGCCGTGAAACCAAGATTCGCGCAATCCGCGCACACCACGCGCTTCTGCCTCGTATTCCGATGTTCTTCCGCTTGTCCCTTCTTCTAAAGCTTCGCGTCCGAGAACATTGTTCCGCGACCCGCGCACGTGAGTGGTTTGGTTTCCGCTTCTGCCTTCTGCTCGCGATTGTTTGCCTCTCGCGTCAACTTGATTTCCATCTTTATTTGGGATCTCTGGACGCACGTAGGGAACATCTCTCTCATCCGTATGTACTCCTCCAGGCGCCACCACCTCCCCCTCGCTTTCATCGACATCCTCAATTGCACCATCACATCACACTGGACACCCAGAAAGACCAGATGGAACGAACTGCAATTAGGGGACCAGCGGATGTGGCGCAAGCCCGTAGAATAGAAATAAGACGGAGGCGGTTGACAGAAAGACGGAAGAGGAGAGGCAAGACTCAAGCACGGGAACCTTCCCGTTTCCTTCCCTCCTCAGCGTTCCGATAAAGTCGCCCTTGTCTGAACATCGCCTCCGATCCCCAGGGCGCCTTCCCACATAATATGTCCATCGCATGCTGCTTGTCCGACTCAGGCGAAAACGCTTCGTCGCATGATTATGAGGACGCACCACACTCGCATGCGCCGCCTTTTCCCCCCCCCCCCCTCGCTCTCTCTCTCTCTCTCTTTTCTCTCTCTCTCTCTCTCTCTTTTTCTCTCTCTCTCTCTCTCTCTCTCTCTCTCTCTCTCTCTCCGTTTCTGTGCATATCTCTACGTGCCCTTTCCGTAGACAGTGGTTTGCACTAAGGTTTGCGTTGCTGACTTCTCTCGTCTCTGGGGCCATCGCTCTCACACAGGATCCCCGAAACGATGCTGCCTCTCCAGCTGGGTGAGCGGATGGCGGGAAAGGGGGAATCAGCCCCACGTGACTCCTCAACCCAGGTCAGCCAGAGGGGACTGGCTGGCCCCCTTTAGCGCTGACCCCCGCCACGGGAGCCCACAAAAGAGGGCTTCGGGTGGCCTCCGGTCCAGTGGGCTGGCTCCCTGAAGCCGTCGTCGCTCCCCTTGACCGGGCAAACACGTCTCTCCAAATGCCTCCCCTGCCTGGGGCTCTGTGATCTTCGCCGGGCGTCCATCCGACGACCTCTCAACACAAGCACAAAGCTGTCAGCGCAAGGGTGCGCGGCAATCATGCAACGCTTAGTTCTCTACTTTCGGAAAGTATCAAGAGCATGTCGGCTCACAGCGCGGGCCCTCAGCACTCGCTGATGGCTCCCCGAGTGGCCGGTTCAAGAAGTGCCGCAAGAGCCAGGGGAATCCCGCTGCAGCATTCGACAAGGCCGCCCTCCTCGGCCTAGGTCGCTGATCCCCATGAGCAGTGGCTTCCAATTCCTCCTGCTCCTCCTCCTCCTCCTCCTCCTCCTCCTCCTCCTCCTCCTCCTCCTCCTCTTCATTATCCTCCTCCCCCTCTTCCTCCTCCGATTTGGCATCATTACCCTCCTTCTCCTTATTATCATCATCCTGCCCATTATCATCATCATCATCATCATCATCATCATCATCATCATCATCATCATCATCATCATCATCATCATCATCAGCAGCATCATCATCACCACAACCATCACCATCACCATCACCATCACCATCACCATCACCATCACCATCACCATCACCATCACCATCACCATCATCATATATCCATCATAAACATCATCATAGGCATCATCATCATAATCCTCATCCTCATCCTCGTTACCATCATCATCATCAGCGCCAGCACCATCGTCATCACCATCATCATCATCACCATCAACATCACCATCAACATCAACATTTACATCACTATCGTCATCATCATCATTATCATCATACTCATCATCATGACCATCATCACAAACATCGTCATCATCATCATCCTCATCCTCATCCTCATCCTCATCCTCCTCATCCTCATCCTCATCCTCGTCCTCGTCCTCATCCTCATCCTCATTATCCTCCTCCTCCTCCTCCTCCTCCTCCTCATCATCATCATCATCACCATCAGCATCACCATCGTCAACATGATCATCCTCGTCGTCATGATCAGCATCATCGCTATCACCATCATTCATCATCAGTCTCATCAGCATCAACATCAACATCTTCATAGTCAGCATCATCAGCATCATCATCACCAGCAGCATATAATCATCATAAACATCATCAACATCAGCACCATAATCATCGTCCTCATCCTCGTCAACATCATCATCATCAGCGCCAGCACCATCATCACCATCATCACCATCAACACCAACATTTGCATCACCATCATCATGATCATCATCATGATTATCATACTCATCATCATTACCATCATCACAATCATCGTCATCATCATCCTCATCCTCATTCGCATCCTCCTCCTCCTCATCCTCATCCTCATCCTCGTCCTAGTCATCGTCATCATCCTCATTATCCTCCTCCTCATCATCATCATCAGCATCACCATCGTCAGCATGATCATCTTCGTCATCATGACCATCTTCGTCGCTATCATCATCATTCATCATCAGTCTCATCAGCATCAACATCATCATCATCATCAACAGCATCAGCATCATCAGCAGCATCATCATCATCGCTATCATCATCATTATTATCGTCGTCCTTGTGCTCAACAATCAACATCCTTCTCCTGCCCCGATCGCCTCCCGAATCGGGGGAGGACGGGGGGGCAACCTACCCATCAAATCCCGGCTAGTCGGAAGAGTGTCCATGCAAGAGTTACCTTTGGGGCGCGAGTTTCGGGAGCCACTAGGAGGCCGAACTGGAGCGCGCAAGCCGCTGCTATCACATCGCATGCAGCCATCTGGGACCCCCAGTGTGCCCGCACCAAAGGTCATAAGACGAAAACAGGACGAGGATAAATTCGGGGGAAGATAAATAGATAATCTCTGAGGTGCGGCGGCTCTGGACGGTGTATTGGGCGCCGCGGCTTTCTCAGAGCGTTCTTGCACGCTCTGAGAGCGTTCCGGAACGCTCTGGAATGATGTATCCTCGTCCTAGCCCCGCCCGAAGTCCCGAGGTCACTCCAACGAAGGACCATCTTTACGTACAGCCGAAAGTCACATTGCAGAACTCGTCGACCTTTCTGTTCCAGTATCGGGGCGTTTGAGGACGCCGACCTTGCAGCACGCGCGGCCAGAAGCGGAACCCGACCGACGCACACGGCGCACGAGGGAGCGGAATGTCGCTGTCGCCTCAAAACACTGGGCAGTGGTTCCCCTCAGAGATGCGCTCCGCTTCGGCGCTTCGCGCGTATTCGTTTCTCGCTAGATCGTTGGTAGGGGGGCAGAGACCGGAAGAGCGAACATATCGCTCTCGCTCGAGCGTTGCTCAGGCTTGCTCTGCAAGGGCGCTCCCACCCGGGTGCGGCGCAGGTTCAATCTGCTCGCCAATCCGAACGGGATCTCGGCTGCTCTCGGCCCAGCGCCGTGCGGGCTTCTTCTGGAATGGCGTTCCCGCATCGGCGCAGCGCAAGCTCATCGCTCGCCAAACGCCGTTGGAAGCTGGGCCGCGCGGGAGCATCATATCGTGTTCTCGCGGCGCTGTCCTGACGGTGTGGCTCGCTCTCTGGTGCGGCTCCGCCAACCTCAGAGGGTGTTAGCACAGAGGAGACAGCGCTGCCAGCGCGCACGCACGTGTGCGCGCAAGGAGATGATTACGGTTGCCCTTCATGGTCGACTTGCTGAAGAACTACAAAAAGCCCATGCTGCGTGTTACCGATACCTTCCGTACGCAATGGACGGCGGCCTGTTAACCCGCGGCTGGCGCACCACAACCGATTCAGAATTCGGGATGCCGCGGTGATCCTGCATGCCCCGCTCGGGCAATCGCATTGCGCGTCACGTGACCTTCGCGTGTGAGCTCGCACACCACACTGACAAGGCTGTTTGCACATTGTCACCCGTTGGGCTGTGTGGACCTTGACTCGGATATTGCGGGAGGTAGGACGGGAGTGAGACGAGCCCGCTGGCTCGCTCGAGCCGGCTGCACCGATCATCCTCATTATTGGACTGATCGTTCACCCCCCCACTTTGCGCCTTACTAGTGAGAACCGTTCGGATGCCCGCACATGGGGGGCCGACGATTGCCATGGATCAAGCTCCTCCTCCTCCTCCTCTTCTTCTTCTTCCTCCTCCTCCTCCTTCTCCTCCTCCTTCTCCTCCTTCTCCTCCTCGTCCTCCTCCTCCTCCTCCGCCTCCTCCTCGTCCTACTACTCCTCCTCCTTCTCCTCCTTCTCCACCACCTCCTCTTCCTCCGCCTCCTCATCCTCCTCCTGCGATTCCTCTTCCTGCAATTTCCCCCCCTCCCTCATAATCCTCATCCTGTTGGTCGGGAACTCTTGCTTAGCGTGTCGCGGCGGCGGCCCCAGCGACACGCTCTGCCCTGCGAGCGGACGGCGTGTCGCCCCGCTCTGCGGGGCGGGAGGCCTCGCAGGGCTCGGAACGTTGATGCACGGGGACTGGGACGTGGGTAGCGCGCAGCGCCAAAGCGCGCTGAGCCAGAACCGGCGGCGCGACACGCTATTCAAAAAGTGTGCGACCCTGCTTCTCCGTATTTGCATTTTTCTGTCACCCTGCTCATCAGCCGACGCCAACACCTCCCCCCCCCCCGGGCCGCCGCCAGTGCCTCGGATGATGTCCGCCTGCACGAGCAGCGAATGCATCGTCTCCTTCGAGCCGCGCAGCCGCAGCAACGACGAGACGAACTGCTCCGAGTCCAGGTGCCCCCTGTGTGCCCAGAGAAAGGGCGGCAATATTTGTGTCATTCGTCTTGGTTTCGACAGTTGGCCGAAGGGTGGGGGACGGTGGGGGGTCTGGGTCAGGGTTGGTGCTTGGTCGCTCTGCTCCCACCAGTCGCGAAGGCAGACTGACTGGAGGGGGGGAGTCCTGACCAGTCGCCAAGAGCAGCCATTAAAAGTAGTTAAGATCTCGTCTATGGAGGGGGGGGGGGCGGGGGCCAGCTCCGATGAGTGAAATTCAAAAAAACAACTTGGAAGAATGAGCTCGAGTGGTCGGCTTCCCCTGTGGCTCAGGGGCAACGATCGGTGGGGGGATAGGCTCCAGGGGGGACGCATCGACCCGCAATCGCCGATGGATCACCGCTGTGGGCCCAGTAGCGCACCACGGCCAGGAGCGCGCGCCTTCGCTGGCCGGGGCACGTCGCCGACCTATCGGCGATGTATCGCGGACCCCCCCCTATCGTTGACACTCCGTGGAGACCACGCCAGCGAGGAGAACTCCACGACTCTTTGCCGATGGCCCAGCAGGCCAGATCGCTGCCTCCGCGCTCAGATGCCGTCAGCCGCACTCAAGAAACCCAGCTCGAAGACAAAGGGCCACAAAACCGCGCTCGAAGACACGATTTCGTCGGTACTTCATGATTCAACAAGCCGAGCGGGCACAAACTTGCTCAGAATAGTAATCATGCGAACGACAGGATACAACAAGCGAAGGTTCGCCTGATGCCAGCAAGCGTGGAGGAGAGACGAAGCAGCACGAGAAGCAGGCGAGGAGAAGAAGGCTGACTGCAAAAGCCACCGCAAACCCAAGTCAAACTGACCCTGCGACGTAACCAACCCATTTGCACCAACTGGCAAGAGGAGAAGGCCAACACAAGCAGGAGAAGCGACAGTGCGGGCGCGGCGATGTGTTGTGCAAGCTACATGGGATGCATACTGTTGCAGGCCTCACAGTACAAAGATCACACGGACGAGGATTGGGACCCCAGGCTCGAAGGAGCAAGGGGCGGGAACGAAGGGCAGGAGAGTGACGGTAGTGTGGGGCGGGGAGCCATCGCGGCAGCAGCAGCAGGATGGAGAACATGGCAGTGGGACTAAGGTGACGATGAAAATGGCGGGGGGAAAGGGAAGAGTCCCGCTTTTTCCAGTAGCTGGCCAAACATGCAGCACTGCCTGTGCCATATCGCCGCAGCGTCCCACGACCTGTTTATGGTCAGTGCAAGAAGCGAGCGAGACCGAGCTCGCCCGCCAGCTTCTCCGCCTCCTTCCTGCACCCTTCAGTGCGGGAGCTGAACGCCCGCAGGCGCGCCGCCAAGTCTGAGGGCGGCCCGCGGGAAAGAAACTCACGGCCGGGTCGCGTATCATCAGCGGCGAGGTCTAATCTGAATCTGCGTAGGGCGTCACTCCGCTGGACCCCCCCGCTGCCCTCGAAAGTGGCGACAGTAGTTTCGCAGATCGCAGCCTCCCAGAGATGGCGAAGTCAAAACCTGAATCTGCGTCGAGCACCCACTATGGTGCCCCCCCCAGCAGCCCTCGAACGTGACGATAGTTTAGCAGATCGCAACCACCCAAGGATGGCGAGGTCAAATCTGAATCTGCGGCATGTACCCCCTACGCTGCATCCCCAGCAGTCCTCGAAAGTGGCGACGGTTTCGCAGGCCCCCAGGGATTGCGAGGTCTAATCTGAATCTGCGGCGAAGACCCACTACGCTGCGCCCCACAGTTTCGCAGATAGCAGCCCCCCAGGGATGGCGAGGTCTACTGTGAATCTGCGGCGAATGCCCACTATTTTGGCTCCCCCCAGTAGCCGTCGAACGTGGCGACAGCTTCGCAGATCGCCGCCCCCCAGGGATGGCGAGGTCTAATCTGAATCTGCAGCGAGTACCCACTATGCTGGCCTCGCCAGCAGCCCTCGAAAGTGGCGACAGTTTCGCAGATCGCCGCCCCCCAGGGATGGCGAGGTCTAATCTGAATCTGCGGCGAGCACCCACTATGCTCCCCCCCCCCCCCCAGAAGCCCCCCAGTGTCTCCTCCCCAGCTGCCCCCTCCCCCACTGTCCCCGCCCCCGCTGTCCCCGCCCCCGCTGCCCCTGCCCCCGCTGTCCCCTCCCGCTGTCCCCATCCCGCAGACCGTGGCTGCCCCAGGGTGCGCTTGGGCAGAGATTCCGAGGTGGACCCAGCCGCGGCCACGAGGAACGAGCCCGTCCGTGGCCCCCCAGTCCCTCCCCGGACCCTTCCCAGCGAGGGCGGCGAGGGCGGCGAGGCACCTCCCCAGCGAGGGCGTCGTCGGAGCGAAGCCGGATCGGCAGGAAAATCGGCCGAAGCCGGCTGCCACATCGAATCGGCAGGAGTCGGATCGGGCGAGGTCGAAATCGGAATCGCAAATCAGAATCTCTGGATCGAGTCGGTTCGAACCAGCAGCCAGGGAAATCGGCTGGATTCGAGACGGAGAAGTCGGAAAGACCCCTGCGTGGGACGGGCTTGTAAATGGTAGGGTGCCACGCTTTTCCCGTAAATGTGATTGCCAATGTTGTAGAGGGCGTGCTTATCGCCAACGGATTTGGTAAGCTGCTTGCTTGAACGAGCGTTCAGAACGTTGCAGACGTTTTGCCTGTGGATATCGGCAGGCATGAACTCCGCGAGGAAGACTGGGGAGCAGCGGGCGTAACCCTCGAGATCTGCAACATGAAAAATAAACTTGGGGAGACGTGGGGGCAGTCGGGGAGGGAGCGAGCGAGGGTCGAGCGAGAGGGCAGAAGCCCTCGCTGCGAGGTGTTGGGCGCACCATCCGGCTCAAAGACGGCGTCCTGCCGTCCTCGTCGAGTATCTGGAACAGCTGGTAGTCCTGCAGCATGGCACACTGGCCACCCACAAGAGTGATCCCAGGCAAGAGTGACACTTGGCGCGCGGTTTCGAGGAAGGGGCCGTGGGAGGGCCAAGCCCAGGCGCGCAGCCCGCTTCCGCGCAGCCGCGCACAGGAGGCCGGAGGCCTCGACAGCCGCTGGGCAGCCACGCGTGGGCCCCTGCCCAATGCAGGCCAGACGGGCTCACGCGCGGGCATGCAGTCATGGCACTGCCGGGAGGAGAGCCGACTCAGGAACGAGAGGTCCCTTCCGGCCACGTCGGGCCTCGGCCGCGAACAGGTTCCCCGACCCAGATCCGAGGAGCGGCCCCCAGAATCCGAGCCCCTCCCGACTCCGAGGTGGTCCTCATGTCAGCGCCCTGACCGCAGAGATGGGCGAGAGCGGGGAACCAAAGGAGGTCTGGGGCCCATCGAGGGCCACCCGGCCGAACTCGGCGCGCCCCCCCGAAGTGGCCCCCAGAATCCGAGCCCCTCCCGAATGCGAAGTGGTCCTCATTTCAGCGCCCCGACCGCAGAGAGGGGCGAGAGCGGGGAACAAGAGGAGGTCTGGGGCCCTTCGAGGGCGTTGGCGACCACCACCACCAGGAGGAGGAGGAGGAGGAGGAGGGAACAAGAGGAGGTCTGGGGCCCATCGAGGGCCACCCGGCCGAACCCGGCGCGCTCCCCCGAAGTGCCGACCCCGGCACCCCCAGGCAGGACGGAGGTCCACCGGCCGAGATTTCTCGGGCCGCGCCCGCACGCTGGGGTTTGAGCGTGAGGACTGCCTGGGGCCAGATGCGCGACGAAAAGAGTGGGATCTTACGCGACATGGCACAGCGACCTCCAGGCACCCCCAGGCAGGATGGAGATCCACCGGCCGAGGTTTCGCGCCCGCAGACTGGGGTTTGAGTGTGAGGACTGTCTGGGGCCAGATGGGCGACGAGAAGAGAGGGATCTTGCGCGACCTGGCGCAGCGACCTCACGCGGTGGTTCACGCGGGCCGCCAGCGCGGCACGCCGTCTTGGGAACGAGGGCGTCTACGCGCGACCTTCCGCAGGCAGCTTACGCGCGGACGTCGGCGAAGGCGACCCCGTATTCTTGCACCGCCCACATGAACCCCAGCGTCGGTTGGACCCGTCGGGGTAGGATTCGCAAACGGTCGCGGGAGCGGCGTCTCGGGAGCGGCGTCTCCTGAGCAGAGATACCCCTGCGAGAGACCGCACGCGGGGGGCATCACTACTGAGGTGGGCAGGCCTGGAGCCAGAATGGGTTCCACATAGTGCTCGGCTAGATCAAGACCAAATAGTCACCACGAACATCCTGAAACGCTTTGATTGCTTTTTCAGGATGCATGCGAGGCCACACCCGTCACCAATACCAAAGGAAGAGAAAAGGACGTTGTTGCTCGCCAGTCTGGGTCCTCTATCTCCAAGCAAACGTCGAAAGTGTTCAGCAACTCCCGGACGCGCTCGTCGGCCATGATGTCAAGGAAAGCGTGCTCACCCTGGTCGAACATGATCTGGGAGCTGGCGTCAATGCCGCGTGAGTGCAGCAGAGCCCTCAGTACCTGAGGCAGTTCGCAGCAGCCCGACTCCCCACACCCTAAAATCGTTGGGGACGTGCCCGGAGGCAGAAAGTGTTTCAGGGATTCAGCAGAGCAAGACAACGCGATGGCGGCGCGCACAGGAGGCTACGTAGGGGGAAAGGGGAAGACTTCTCAGAAGGAGGCTGCTTTTTAGAAGGCGCCAGCCCTAAATCTGTAGACAAGACCCGCGCCTTCTAAGAAGCAGCGTCCTTCTAAGAAGCCTTCCCCCCATCCCCATACCCCCTTGTGCGCGCCGCCAAGGAACGGTTTTAGTGAATTATGACGAGTCCTTTGGAATCCTCCTTGGGGCTCGAGGAACCTACAGGAACCTCGACGAATCTACAGGAACCCTGAGCAGCCTTGACGATGATCCTCAGGGTTCCTGAGGATCCCAGATGATTTCTAAAGATTCGAAAAATCCAAAGCAGGCAAAAAGATTCCTCTGGAATCGGAGACCGGCTTTTCATCCTGACTCGCTGTTTGCCAGTCTCGAGGCCCAGCGAGGGCTCCCCAGGGCCGAAAACTACAAAAACAAAAAAACATGATACCCCTGTCGTGCCTGTCGTGCCCCTGCATCGCCGCATCGCCGGCGGTGGGCTGGGACGCGCGCGGGGCGCGCCCCGTCGGGGGGGGAGCAGAACGCCGTACGTAGGCTCTCGCGCAGACGCGATCGCAAGCCTTCCGGTACTGCCTCCGACCACGCGCTTACCGATGGAGACGCAAACTTTCTGGGCGGCGCCCACAATCAGAGGAAGCCTCGAAACCCTGGTCGGAGCGCTCCCCCCGGCAAGGCCCCTGGAGCAGCGGCATTGGTACCTTCTGGCTTCCCCACACGAGGGGGTGGCGCGAGGGGGGTGGGCTTCTGAGGAGGCACGGGGGACCTCTTGGGAGGCAGAGTTGTCGAGCTGGGTCGATCTGGGCGAACGCGCCCGCCGAAGCCCGCCTCCCCCCTCCACGCCACCCCCCTGTGGGCGCCGCAGTCTTCCGCTCCCGCGCTGCACACACTGCTTCGAGGTCGGGTCTGCACCGTCGGAGAGTTCGCGCGCTGGCCCTGGAGCGCAGGGGAGGGGAGCGCGCGCGAGCGCCTCCACGAACTTGCGGCTCTCCTCGTTGTAGATGTGCGTGGCGTGCTCATCGCTTTTGGCGGTGGCCACGACGTTCTCGCACACGATGCCGGTGACCAGATTCATCATGATTATGTTCGAGAAGACCTGAGAAGCACCGCGATCGTTTGGTCGGGGGCTTCGCGAATGCAGAGGTGCTCAGCTTGCACATCTTCGCCACATCGGTCTCCTGAGTCTGACCTATTACCTACGTAGGTGACTGTTGTGTCGTTCCCTGGGGGAGGGGGGGCTTCGGGCGGGAGGGTAATGGTAACAGCGGTCGCGGCGTGCACCCGTCAGGGTGCGTCTGAAGCACGCGCGCATCCATCGCCTGCGTGCACCACAGCATGCAGGGGGGGGGGTCCAGGCCCCCCTCAATACGATCGTTAGCGTTACCCTGGGGAGGAAAACGAGCGCTTACTGGCCTGGCAGATTCCGTGCGCAGGGCGACCGGCGCACAGGCACCTTGGGAGCTTCCGGCCTCTCCCTGGAAGCCTGCACCGCGGGCTGCCTGGGCCTTTCCGTGCGCAGGCCCCAGCGCGCTAAAGTGGCACGCAAGCGACCAGAAGCTGCAACCAGTACAGTCGGACCTGAGACAGAAGAACATCCTTCAAGAACGTGAGACCCTCCGCCGGCAAATCACACAGAACATCCGAGGGTACCCTCCCCAGGATGCGCAAGAACATCCAACAAACACGAAGAGCATTAGGGTATCCTCCCCGAACCGACCTCGATCATATACGCGGTCCGAGTGTAGAGGAAACGAAGACGGCATAAACATGAGTTTTTGACGCTGCGCGCGGGTTTCTTGGATCTGCGCTGAACCCCCTCCTGAAACAAAGACGGCGTACATATAAACTTTTGACGCTCCGCGCGGATGTCTTGGATCTGCGCTGAACCCCCACCCCGCCCCCAGCGCGCGGAGCGCGCGCGAGGGGCGCCGCCGGAGGTGCCGCCAAGGGGTCCCAGCGCAGATCCAGTAAATCCGCGCGGAGCGTCAAGAGTGTTTGTTCTGCCGTTTTCTGTTCTTCGAACCAGGTAACAATAGACAAGCGCGTTCCACTATTCGCAGAGTAACTACTCGCAAATGGCCTGGATCCGCTGCCAGGGGTTTACGATACACCATGTAGAGGAAGACATGGCTTTCTCTGACGATTGCGAGTAGGCACTTTGCGAATAATGGAACGCGCTCGGTGATACCAGATCCATGTGCGAAGCCCTGGCGATCCAGCCGTTCATCGGCTGCTCAGCTGGCCAAGAGTCCGTCTGCGAGCCAGCGGAGTCCCAGCGCAGATCCAAGAAACCCGCACGGAGCGTCAGTAATGTATGTATTTGTCCGTTCTCTTTTCTTCGAAGCCGGTTGCAAAATCCATGCATGGATCTGGTGATCCGGCCGTATTACCGGCTGCTCAGCTGGCCAGGAGTGTCAGGAGTGTCCGTCTGCGAGCCGGCGCGGGGGCATATCTTCGCGCGCACCTCTCTGAGCAAGGGGCGCCCCAGGAAAAAAAAGGCCCCGTGAAGTGCAAAGGCTTTACGGGGGGTCCTGCCCAGCCAGCTCCGCGGTCGCTGAAACCCGCGGCCTTCGGTACATTCCCCGCGCTTCGCGCCTCGCCTTGCGCGGCTTGAAGCGCGAAGCCGGCCGACTCGTTAACCACGCAGTCGGGTCTGGGCAGCAGGTCGAGCCTGCAGAATGAATGGTACCTCCTCGTGTCTTGTCTGCCGCATTCCGCGCGCTCTTCATGCCTGCCGACGCTGCTGAACAGCTGCAGCATCGCAACGAATCATCACCAGGGCCCTAGACCCAGTTTTTTTTTCTGCGGCAGCTTCCGAGCCCAGTTCCGAAGCGGATATGCGGAGGGCAGAAGCAGGCATTGGAGGAGGAAGAAGGAAGGAGGCGAGAAAAGAAGGACGCGGGGCGCTGCTGATTCAACAGGAGGACCCAGCGCCACAGGCTTTCTGGGAACAACAAGAACCCCAAACCGGGCGAAAACGCCCGGTGTGAAAACTTTGCTACACGCCTGGGTCCCCCCAGAGGGGCAGCAAAGCGGGGACAATTTTGCGTTTGGCAGCGTTCATAAGGGCGAGGACTACGGTTTCGCTCTCGATAGAAAGAAGGAGGGCAGATCGGGAAGAGGCCCAGGGGGACGGAGAACGTAAAGGAGCAGAGGAGGAGAGGGAGAGGGGGTGCCCAGGCGGAGTAGGGCCAGAGGGCTAAGGAAGAAGGGGATGTGGACGGAGAGTGGACACCGAGGGAGGTAGGAGACAAGAAAGAGGGGAGGCCCAGTGGACAGCTGAGGCACTGAGGCCAGGACGATGAAGCCTACGAAATACAGGTACCAATACCAGTTCTTGGCAACAGGTTCACCAGCCGCCCGCGCCAGGGCTGGGTACCCCTCCAGGGTCAGCACCATGAAGTGTGAGAAGAAGCTCCTGCCCACGCCACCAAAGTAGTATCTCAGCGTCTCGTTGGATAACTCCTGCAGCGGCGCAAACCTTACATGAGTGACTACCATCGTCCAATGACACCATCATCGGCAACACGATCAAGCATCGCCTGGCGATGAAACTCATCACCAGGATCAAGGGTCGTATTCCGCCCTTTCCTCCTTCCACTGAGGACGATCGATAGGGGGGGACCTACTAGAGGGGGGAGGGACATCGATCTTGAATCGAGGATGCATCGCCCGTAGATCGGCAATAGGCCCCCGATAGCGAAACCGCACGTTCCTGGGCGTGGCGAGCTCAGGCCCCTATCCACGATGAATTCGCAATTGGTGATCGATGCACCCCCCCCTAAGCATATCCCCCCCCGGTTACCCCTGACCACCATTGCAAATCATCTGAACATGTTCGGTACGATGCCATGCCAAGTGACACAATTCCGTCCATGATACACTCGCCGTACAGAGGGCACTTCCGAGCTTGATTGACGGCAAAGCTTCACACACCTGAAATAATCACCAACATGGCTCTCTCTCTCTCTCTCTCAATACATACGTGCAGATGCAAAGTTTGTGTTGAGGCGCTTATGCTCCTGCTTCGGCTGATACTGTTACGAGTCATGTGACTGTAATGAACGCCACAACCGATGTTGGCTCTGCGCTTGCCGGTGGTATCGATACTTCTGGCTCTGGAACTCCTCAAAACACGAATCGTCACACTCCAACGTCAGAAATGCTACCATTTCGGAGGGGACGGCGCCAATCCTGGCAGAATGATGAGCACGGCCCACATGCCATCGGAGAACGAGCGCGACGCATACGTCTTTACAACATTACAACAAGAAGGACAACAACCACAAATCAAACTACGAGCACGCAGTCTGACAATATGACTTGGCCTTTAACTGCTTCACCTCATCCCTTGCACCGGCATTCTGAGTTTCTTGACGCGCCCCCTTCTGGGGATGCGGGGGGGGTCTTTTTTCGCAAGACCGCCTGCGTAAAAGCAGGACGAGAGGATGAGCTCGGCTTTGAAAAACAAGCAAAAACATAAACATCAACATTCGGGGATCCGCGCGGGTTCCGCGAAGACACACACATACAATCACGGACACCACAAGCTTTTCTCGGCGGGCCCCGCGCAACATCAGAGCCAGTAACCAGCGGCGCGAGCGCGTACTGCAGCAATGGGATGAAAGCGAGGACGACGGCGATAGAGAGGTGGAACAGACACGCGCGTGCTCGCGCGCACTGGCAGAGCGACTCGCACGCGAACACGCTTGTTCCTCCGACCCCCTAGTGGGAAGGCAACCCACGGGTAGAACTGTCGCGGGCTGTGCTCTGCTGGCAGCTTGGCGAATTCAGCAAATCAGCTTGTGTGTGTACACACACACTGCTGTTATCGAGCCCGCCATGTCGCAGGTATGGCGCAACCGCTGGCGCTAATCTCGGACAAGCATCGGGGAACGCCAGCGTAAGCCTCTGCTCTGGATCATCTCATACACGCACACATACACACATACAGAAACACACACACACACACACACACAGACACACACGCGCACGTAGACGCACACAGATTCGAATAAACTGGCCGTGTGCCGGATTGCCGTCCTGCCCCAGCTGCATCGTCGTCAACAATGCGGCGACGTACATAGTTACGACCAGCAGCAGGAAAACCCAGAAGACGGCCTGCACGGAGGCAGCCAGTCCTGAAGGCTGCTCAACATCAGCCGACGAAGATCCCGTGGCGCCCCTTCAGGAATGGGTGATATGGTTGTCTCCGAAGAAAAGAGGATCGGAAAGGGGACGCTCAGTGTGAACTACAATAAGCGCGGGTGGATTACCACCGATATCCCCAGTGGCCAAAGTCACCAAAACCTTTTTAGTTTTCCACTAACGTCGCTCTGCCTCATCTTTTCTGTACCAGTGCTTCAGGGATTCTCATGCGTCCCCAAGTAAGCCCAAGACATCCCAACACGGGCTTCGAAGAGAGGCTCAATAAGCAACTCGGATGGCCCTGGGGATGCCTCAAAGTGGTCCCAAACCGCCATCAAGATGGCACACAAGGTTTTGACATCCCCAGGGACCGCCAAGCGAAGCAACAATTTCGCACTTCGCAGCCCCCCCTCCCCCCGGGATGGCGACGCCTTTTTGGTCTGTGTGGGACACCACTGTGCTGGCTCCCCCAGCAGCCCTCGAAAGTGGCGACGGTTTCTCACTTCGCCCCCCCCAAGGTATGGCGAAGTCATTTTTGGATGCGCGTGGGACCCCGCTGTGCTGGCCCCCCGAGCAGCCCTCAAAAGTGGCGACAGTTTAGCACTTAGCAGCCCCCCGAGGATGGCGAATGTTTTTGGGGATCTCCTTAGAGTCCCCACTGTATTGGTTCCCCCAGCAGCCCTCGAAAGTAGCAAAGTTTCGCACTTCGCAGCCCGCAAGGATGGCGAGTTGTTGGTTTGGATCTGCGTGAAACCACTGTGCTGGCTACCCCCGCAGCCCTCGAGAGTGGCGACGGTTGCGCAATTTCACATTTCGCAGCCCCCTAAGTATGGCGCGGTCTCTGTTGGATCTGCGTGTGATACCACTGTGCTGCCCCCCCCCCAGCTGCCCTCAAGAGTGTTGACAATTTCGCACTTCGCAGCCCCCCAGGGATGGCAAGGTTTTTCCCAACCCTCCTTGGCTGGGTATTCGTATTGAATAGAGCAGTGCGGTTGCGTCCTCCTCCTCCTCCTCCTCCCGCCTTCCGCCGCCCGCCCCCTCTCCTTTCTGTCGCCTCTTGCCTTCCTGGCGGGGCTGCGATCTGCGAAACTGTCGCCACTTTCGAGGGCTGCTGGTGGGTCCAGCGGGGCGATGCACCGCGCAGACCCGAGCGAGACCTCGCCGTCCCGGGGGAGGGGGGGGGGCGATCTGCGAAACCGTCGCCACTTTCGAAGGATGCTGCTGGTGGGTCTAGCGGAGTGAGGCACCGCGCAGACCTGTTCGAGACCTCGCCGTCCCTGGGGGGCTGCGATCTGCGAAACTGTCACCACTTTCGAAGGATGCTGCTGGTGGGTCCGGCGGAGTGAGGCACCGCGCAGACCTGAACGAGACCTCGCCGTCCCCGGGGGGCTGCGATCTGCGAAACTGTCGCCACTTTCGAGGGCTGCTGGCGGGTCCAGCCGAGCGAGGCACCGCGCAGACCTGAGCAAGACCTCGCCGTCCTTGGGGGTCTGCGATCTGCGAAACTGTCGCCACTTTCGAGGACTGCTGGTGGGCTCGCCACTTTCGAAGGCTGCTGGTGGGCCCAGGTGAATGAGACACTGCGCGGACCTGAGCGGGACCTCGCCGTCCCTGGGCGGCCATGTCATGTTGTTGCTGCCCCGCCGACGTCTCAAGCCCTTTGCCCACAGTCTCCTTTTGGACCTTGCGTCTTCCTTCGTGACTCAGGGATTCACTTAGTTACTCATCGTTTTCCCTTGATTGGGGACCTGTGGAACTTCCAAATGCCGCTCGCAGAAATATACGCGTTCATGTCACGTCGCCGCCTTCTCGTCAAATATCCCAAGCCACTCCTGCCCCGCATTGCGCAGGGTTGGGTACGTCGCCATGGTAGTTTGGGTCTGCGAGGGACACCAGCGTGCTGGCCCCCCCAGCAGCCCTCGAAAGCGGCGCCCGTTTCTCACTTCGCAGCCCCCAGGGGAAAGCACGACGGCTAGGCAGGCGACAGACCAGCCAGGCAGGACAGCGAACAGGCATGCAAGCAAGCAAATGCAGGCAGGCGTGAAGGGGGACAGAAGGCGGAAGGAGGAGAAGGGAGGACTGGAGACCCCACTGCTCTGTTCAAAGCGAGAACCCAACCAAGGGAGGGCTGGAAAAAAAAACACAATAAGATGAAAGAGCAGCGGTGTCGGTACCTCTCTCTCTCTCTTTCTGTCTTTCTTTTTCTCTCTCTCTCTCTCTCACTCTCTCTCTCTCTCTCTCTCTCTTTCTCTCTCTCCTGAGAATCACCAGCACTAGACAAGCGCGTTCCACTACTTGCAAAGGATCTACCCGCAAATGGCCTGGATGATTCGCCATCCACTACATCGAAGCAGATATGTGTTTTTCGGACGTTGGCGAATACACTCTTTGCGAGTAGTGGAACGCGCTCGGTGAAACACGATTGTGGCGGACACCTGCCGCGAGCGAAAAGGGCGGGACACCTGCCAGCTCCCGCGGCTCCCGCGGGCCTCGCGACCCCCTTCCCCAGCAGCACCCGGGGGCTGCGTCGGCCGGCCATCTCGCGCTGGCGCATCTTCTCGGAAAGGCGGCGCGCGCTGATGCCCTTTTGCGCGCACGTCCAGCGGGCCCCATCGCCACCAAGGGGGGGGTGCTGTCGCCAGAAGTCGGCCATACACACAAGAGTGACCTGTTGATGGGCGACCTACACTGCGCAGCTTCAGGGGCCGTGGGGGGGCCAAAACCCCAGCGCGCCAGCCAGCCCTGGGGGACTCCTGTGGGCCCGCACCAGAGGTTATCCTGGCGATGGGCCACTCTTGCGCGTAGCCGACGGAAATGGGCCTGCGGCCTGTTCTTTTCGTTTCTGGCTGCAGCGTCCTGAGCATCTTGGAGACCTCTTCTTGGCTTGCCACTGGCGAGTGAGCTTGGTGACGTGGGCATTTCCCTGGCACAAGAGCGATGACTAAGTGATGATACGCGACCCGTCTTGAAACATCGTTGCCCGGGAGACCCATCCCGGGAAGGGGGTCCCGCCGCCTGGCGCTAACCGATCAATCCCCGCGCCCCTCGCGTCGAGCCCAAGGCGCCGCGGCAGGGGCGCCCAGGGGCGGCGTCACTTCCACGTCCTCCCGTTCACTGGTTGGCTCTTTCCTCCTCGGCCCTCTCAAGGGATGGGTCGTCGTCCTTTTCATCGCCGCCGCGTTCCGCGGACCTGTCGTGGCCCCGCCAGTCGACACTCACCCAGGGAGCTCGCAGAGTTTGAAGGGGGCTGGAAGGCCCAGCCAACAGCTTCGCCTCAGGCGAAGCCAAGCTCCAACTCTGTTGTACCGTAGTAACGATAGTCCCAGTATGAGAGGAGATGCCATCTCAAGCAATAGGACGATCCTTTTGGTCTCGATAGCGATTGTATGCCTCGCAGTAAGGCAAAGTCAAATTTGGGCGGCCGGCCGCTTGAGCCGATGCGGCCGCGGGCGCACGCTCGCTTCCACTCCTTACGTCCCCCAGCTCGCTTTAGAGTCGCAGGTGGCGGCGGCGCGCAGGATCCCCACCTTGGCGACGGCCAAGTTCCTTCCTAAAGCAGCCCACGTCCAACGCCGCCAGGGTCGCCAGGACCGCACGCGAGACGGCGGCCAACTCTAGCGCCCACATTCCTGCCAGCCTGGCGCACTGGAGTATAAGCTCACGAGTCTCAGATGCCTGAGCTGGGGACGTGTTAGAGCCAAGATGGATTGGACCAGCGTGGCTCTGGCCAGCAGAGGAGGAAGTGGAGAAGGAGGAGGAGGAAGACCAAACATAAGAGCAAACACAAACAGAGCAACAACGATCACGACCGAAACTGAAACTGCAATTGAAGCGATCGGATAAGTCAGGATATCGGGTGATAGCGGCCACAAGTCCTGAAATGAGCAGCGAGAGCTCCGGGCAGATGTGCAGGATCCTGTCTGGATATCAGCTCCACCTCCTCCCCCTCCACCTCCAATGTGTTGCATATATATATATATATATATATGCAGTGGCGCTTCGCGCCATGCACCTTGGTCCTTGAAGATTGCTATGCAGGCGGAAAGGCAGGAAGGTCAAGCGGACACTTTAATGATAACTCCTTGCTGCCTTTTCTGGCATCGCCGTTATAATAATGTGAATCGCTATCGTTCATCATTGCTTATTTTTCCTCACTCTCGCCATACCCTGGGCATCTCCCCATCCTCCTCAGCTTTGCGGAGGCTCCTCCTTGGAGAGCCCCTGGGAGCCTCACCAAAGTTCTCAAGCTTTCTTAAGCCTTCTGGAGGCCTCCTGGGCGTGTTCTGGGGGCCTCTGGGGCTTCCTAAGGCCAACCTGCCTCTATCCGCGGTCTCCCTGAACGCCCCGGTCACGATTTGGATTGCTTCGGAGGGTGTCTTGGGGCCATCTCGGGCCGCCATGGGGCTCTCTTACGGCCATTTTGGGCCCTCTTGGACTGCCTGGAAGCCCTTTCGGATGGCTGTGGGGCGATTTTGGAGCCTCCCAGGCGACTTCGGACGCCCAGAAGACCGCTGTCTTGGAGCGTCGGGAAGCCGAATTCACCAAAAACCTACATCAAATCAATGATTCTTGCCTCTTGGGGCCTTCTTGGGGGTGCTCTTGGAGGCCTCTTGGTACGTTTTGGAGCGACCTTTCGGGGTATGACGGCTTCTTGGAGCGCTCTTGTGCTGTCTTAGGGTTCTCCAGGACGTCTCCGATGACCCCCCTGATCGCCATAGGTGTGCTGCGAAGGCTTGGCAAAACGCCCTGCGAGGCCCGGGGGGCCGCTTCGAGGCCCGTCCGAAGGGTCCCAAAGCCCCGGATCCCGGGAGTCTGGTTTTGGGGGGGGTGACGGGTTTTCCCCTGCCCAGGCTTGCAAAAATATAGGAAGAGGAATATATGTATATTCATATAGATATATATATATATATATGTGTGTACACATACATACATATACATATATTAGATATGTATATATGTTAGCCTGCGTGGGCCCCAAGCAGTCGGCTACTGCACCATCGATATGCAGTAAATACGTCGCACCATGTATGCGCTACATGCTGTGTGGCGAAAGCTATATGGTGACGGCTGTGTGGCGTCACCATGTGGTGCACGTTATGTGTGCGATCTGTATGGTGCAAACTATGTGGTGAAAGCTGTGTGATGCAAGCTTTGTACCGCAACAAATGTAGTGCAAGGTATGGAATGCAAGCTAGGTGGTGCATTCCGTGCATGGTGCAACATTCGTAACGCAAGCTATGCGCTGCAATCTTTTTACGCAAGCGACATGGTGCAAGCTACGAGATGCTATCAATGTGGTCCAAGCTACATGGTGCAAATTTTATGATGCACCCAGCGCACGGGGTGGCCCCGAAGCGCCACGGGGCGGCCACCAACTGCAGACTCACCCAGCGCACGGGGCGGCCACGAGGCGCACACTGGAAGCCACCGACCAGGCACCAGGCGAAACCCAGGCAGACCAATCCAATTACTCCAGCAAGAGACAAAGACCAATGAATGCAAGCATCGCTTGGGGAATACAAGTATGTGTATATATATATATGTACACATATGTATGTGTATACACACAAATTATCAACAATTGGTGGGTTCAGCAAGCCCTCCATCCCCAACAATGTCTCTTCTTGGGGGGGCAACGCTAACTTCGAGTAGACATTGCCCCCCAAGCACTTCCGCTAGCTTCCGCCAACCTTCAGCCGGCTTACGCCAGCGGGGCCGCCCCCGTTGTGCTTTCGCCGCCTTCTGCGGGCCTTCAGCCACCTTCCGCCGAGAAAGGGATGTCTACTCCGTCGGCCCTCTAAGGCGAGGACCCTTCTGGAGGAAGGCACCTGAATGTAGGTATACTCATATGCAGACATACATGCAAACATACATACACATACATACAGACATACATACATACATACATGCAGATATGCATACACATATACATATGCACATACACATACGCATACATCAATCTCCATGTTTTGTTACTATACTAGAACCAGCGCGCGCTTCGCGCGCGCTCAAGTTCCAGCACGGGCGGGGGGTGTTTGCAAAAGCAAATGCGACCGTCGGATGGCGGGAGGAAACATACTCATCGTCATCGTCATGACCATGATCGTCAACATCGAAGTCATCGCCGTCAATCTCATCACCAAGATCCTCATCATCTGATTCATCATTATCAGGTTCTTCAGCGTCGCCGCCATCATCAGCATCAGCATCATCATGAGCACCATGACCATGATCGTCATCATGGTATGGTCGGCGTCGCCGCCTTCGCACCGTCGCCAGGATGATCCCAGAGAGGCCTTCGGGAACATCTGGGAGACTGCCCTCCACAGAGAGGGTACTCCGACGACCGCGCAACACATCGTTGTCATCACCATGTTTATTCCGATCATGATCAGCGTCGTCAGCATCATGTTTATCGCCATCACCATCACAATCACAATCGCCATCATCATCACATCCAATATCATCATCATCATCATCATCATCATCAGCATCATCATCATCATCATCATCATCATCATCATCATCATCACCACCACCACCGTCACGCTAATCGTTGACGTCATCACCGTCTTCGTCATCATCCTCATCATCATCTTCATCGCCGTCGTAATTTTCATCCTTACTATCACCCCCTATCCTCGTTATCATCATCACCATTGTCATCATCGTCATCATCGCCATTGTCATCAGAGTCGTGCGTGCTGTCATCATCAGAGTCGTTCCTCGTCCTGTTCATCAATATCATCATATCCGTCACCGCCTCCTTCCGCCGAGGAAGAGATGTCTACTCCTTCGGTCCTCTGAGGCGAGGACCCTTCTGGAGGGAAGCACATGCATATACACAGGTATACCGTATACATATTTACACTAGAACCATCGCGCGCGCTTCGCGCGCGCGATGGTTCTAGCAGGCCCCAGACCTTGACGAATTCATTGCTCCACTGAAGTAGTGGACCACAGTCCACGCATTCCAATCTGCATTCCGAAAGGCCTTCGAGGAAAATGGCTGCGTAGGGGGGCGGAGGCCGTATGAATCGGGTTCCCGGAAGACCTTCTGGGAGCATGGGTTTGGGGGCGTCTTGAGGAGCCTGTTGGGGCGTGCCGTCGTCGTCGTCGTCGTCGTAATGTCGTCGCCGCCTATTGGGGCGCGCCGTCGTCGTCGCCGTCGCCGTCGTCGTCGTCGTCGTCGTCGTCGTCGTCGTCGTCGTCGTCGTCGTCGTCGTCGTCGTCGTCGTCGTCGTCGTCGTCGTCGTCGTCGTCGTCGTCGTCGTCGTCGTCGTCGTCGTCGGTTCAAGAGGGCACTTGGGGCAACTTTGTGCGAAACGATCTGCGGAGGGCCGCGAGAAGGCGATCAATCATGTTCCCAATCAAGTGAATTAAAGCACGGCGCGCGGGCGGGCTCGGCACCTTCAGGAGAAATGGGCGCGGCGCCCTGGCAAGAGCACTGATCTGACGCCACCACGTCAAAGCAAGGACGAAGGCCGCACTCCTAAAGGAGCGCCCGCGATGCCCATACGGGAGCGACGACTCCCGACAAAGGGGCACCAGCGCGCCTAGCCAGCGACAAGAGGCCCCGTAAAAAAACTGTCGAGACATGGAACACAATCCCAGGGGCCTGGTACTGGCCCAAAACGGCCGTGGGGCAGCCCGAGCAAACTCCGCTCATCCCCGTTGTCCTTCCTGCTGCATCTTTATTCCGCGCAGCCTCCGTTCCACGTCTTGTTTCGAGGAGGCGCCCGTACTCAGGTTGCTTCCCCTCATCTACTTCTCGTCCTTCTCGTCATCGTTCTCCTCCCTCGCCCTCCATCATCTCCAACTGCTGCAGCATGGCCCGAAGAGGTGGCTTCAATGTGAACCCACAGAGCCCAAAAGACATACTCACAGGCTCCAGGTAGGTAGGGTTCCAGTGGAGGCCTACTAAGCGCCACCTAATGCACCAAGATCGGTGGCACAAGTACGCGCGCAGATACGTTTGAACGTGCTTGGGCGCGTGCGGGTGCACGGACCTGCGTGCGCAAGTCTGCTGCGCAAACCCATGATAATAACGATGGCTGGTGTCTGGTGTCTCCGTGCGGCCGCTACGGCTAGACTGTAGGGCTTCCCCAGAAGAGGACATCCGAACGCAGCACCCCCTCCGCCTCCCCTCCGTTCCCCTGGCCATGCCGTCCCATGCCATCAGTCGCCTCCTGCACCCCATGAAGCGAACTCTTCGGCCGCCCTGTCCAGTCCAGGAGGGTTGGCAAACGGCCGCAAGTCACAGGCCGCCAGGGCCGCCAGCATGAAAGATACGGCACCCGAACTCTGTTCCTGGAAGCCGTTCGGCGCTCCATCCCAATATGTCGCGAGGGTTGGATGGCACCCAAAGGGTCAGGCTTAGGGTTGGTGGGCCCCACACCCAGGGGGGGGCAGGGTGGAGCGACCCTCTGAGCGCGCTCCCACGCTGGATCGCCGCGCCGCGCGTCAGTCCAGAGACAGTGCAGCGCGGGAAAGCACGGTGGCCAAGACGTTTCTCAACGCCAGTGCAAATCGTCGCGCTTGTGGTGTTACGTGCGCCATCGTTTGGGCCATTATGCTCTCCCTCGTTGCAGATTGTCTTGACCGACGATGTGGCGAATCTACATGGAAGTGTACCGAAAGGTCGCGCCTGCAGCCCAAGCACCCCTAGCGCCGTATAACACCCTATCGTCATCCCATGCCGCCACCCCATTTCGTCACGCCACCCCCTGAAAGTGTTGCATCCTCTTCGTCACCTCACAAAAGAATCATCACGATTTCGTCGCCCCCCACAGGTCGAGCCACCCTCTTGCGCCACCCCCTCGAAGTATCGTCGCCCCGTGCGTCACCCACCGTCGCCACCCAGAAGTGTCGTCACCCCCCCCTCGCCACCCGAAGTATGACAACTGTTCATCTTTGCGTACGCCGCAACATTGTTACAAGCCATTGCGCCGTGAAGGAGGGCGCAAGATTCCGCCAGGTGCCAGATGAACTGGCACTCTGCGGGGGGCGCAAGATGGCGCCAGGTGAACTGGCAGGCTGCGTCAGGCACTCACTCGGTTTCGCTGCCACTTCTCGCTATCAGTTAGCCGAGTCTCTGAGCATCATGTCGGCCTTACTCAGCAATGAGTTTGCCCGTCTGTGTCACCCCAGAGTGGCTCTTCTCCAACGGAGACTCACTTCTCACCCACATGCTGTCCAAAATGAAGGGAAGACGTCGCGAGGGAAACGATTCCTGGACCCTGGGGCGTCCCGTCAGGTCCGCTTGTTCACCCCCCGACCGCTTTCCGTAGGCCCGGGGCCCCATAGAAGGCCCCAGCAGGCCGACACACAAAACCTACGCTTGCTTGACCACTTCCGCCCAGGACCCCTCCTCTCAGCGGCGCGCCAAGGGGCGAAGTGAGAAGGGCAGGCGTTCTGAGAAGGCAGCGGGGCTTCTAACAAACCCCCTGGCCCTCTGAGAATCCCCCTGTGCTTCGGAGAACTGTATAAACGAAACCTTTCGAAGGTCCGCCTGGAGTTCTTAGATCTGCGCTGGACCCCACCTGGCGCGCGGAGCGCGCCAGAGGCGGCGCCGGAGGCACCGCCAAGCGGGGGCCAGCGCCGATCCAAGAAAACCTCGCGGAACTCCGAATTTGTATGTTTATGCAATTTTCTTACTCGATCCTGAACCTTCTGAGACGGCCCACCCCCCATCAAGTACCCTGGTGCGCGCGCCGCCAGTCTTCTTCAGGGCGGCCAGGAGGGCTCCTGACGATGCGGCAGATGCGCAGCAGTCGGAAGATCCGCATGACCCCAACGGCTGGAAGCTGGGCCTGCCGGGAGACTATCTGCGTCGGTGTCGTTTCGCAGACGACGACGACGACGACGACGACGACGACGACGCCAGCGGCGGCGGCGGCGGCGGCAGGCGGCGACGACGACGACGACGGCAACGGCGGCAATGGCGACGGCGGCTGCGGCGGCTACGGCTACGGTGACGGCGACGGCGACGGCGACGGCGACGGCGACGGCGGCAGCGGCGGCGACGGCGACGGCGGCGGCAGCGATGGCGGCAGCGGCGACGGCGTCGGCAACGGCGACAGCGACGGCGACGGCGACGGCGGCGGCGGCAAGGGAAACCTGCACCAACACCACCGTCGCAGGTAGAAGTGGAGGGTCCTCGTTTTGGTGTGTCGCCACCTCTCGGCGTTTTGCGCGCTACATGTCGAACTTCCCGGCAATGCCAACGGGGGTCACCACCCAAGAAATCGTTGCCTCTTCTGGGCAATGGGCCCCCTGGGCCTCCCTAAACCCCTTACTCTCCAAGACGCCAGGGGGGTGAGGAAGGCGTGGCGGAAGAGGAGGACGAAGACAACGAAAAGGTCCCACTGCCGCCAGAGGAAGGAGGAGGTAGTCAATAAGGGGCAGAGGCGATATGCACACACATATCCCCCCAGAAAGTGTTTGCGCTTAGGGGGTCACCCTTCTTTCCTAAGGAAGTGGGCTCGCATGGCGGTGTGGTGGTTCCGTGGTTGCCGTCGCTGCTCCGTCGCCCGCCGCCGGCCTCGTCGCCGCCGTCGCCTGGGCCCGCGTGGCGGTCTGGCGGTTCCGTCGTCGCCTCGTCGCCGCCCTGTCGCTGCTGCGTCGCCGGACGGCGTCTGAGCCTGTATTGCCGGACATGGATTCGCATTGTTGTGCAGCGCGTGCATTGCCTTGCGCTGCCTTGCGTTGCTTTGTGCTGCGCTGTTGCTTTGCACTGCGTTGCGCTTCTTCGCACTGGCTTGCATCGTGTTGCGCTTGCCTGCTTTGTGCTGCACTGAACTGCACTGCGTTGATTCGCATGGTTCGTTGCATTGGTTTGCAACGCGACGTGCTGGGAAATCCCCAGCGATCAGCGACAACGCGGCCCCGTCGGTCGCACCAGACTAGCTGGCCGCTGCGCGCGCGAGCCTGCGCGCTAGCGCGGCCGCTGCGACGCGCCAGCCAGCTCAAAGTAGTCTTCCCAATCGCCGCCGCGTGGGTTTTACAAGCGAAGTTGCGGGTGGCAGACATACATACATACATACATGCATGCATGTATGCATGCATGCACGCATACACACATGTTTACAGAGATGCATATATATATATATATATATATATATATATGGGTATTCACGTATATAACGATGCCCTTCCTCTGCTGAAGAACCTCCTCTACATCCCGAGGCCGATGCACTTTTCCCGGCTCACCACTGCCTGTGCAAACTATCTGGAAAGAAGGGGCGGCCACCGTTAGGGCCGGCCACGCTAGCCAAGGGGAGGGCGGGTTCGGGAGAGCTTGAAACCAGAGCCCACGCGCGTCGAGGAATCGCTGCATTCAGCGATGACCTTCCTCTGCTGAAAAAGCTCCTCCACATCCCAATGCCGATGCACTTTTCCGGGCTCGCCACTGCCTCTGTAAACTATTTGAAAAGGGGGGACAGCCACAGTTTGGGCAGGCCATGCTAGCCACAACCGCTCATGGTGGAAGCAGGGGGGGGGCGGGAGGAGCGAAGCGGGCACCGATGAGCTTCGTTCGCAGTGGCGGGGACACGAGCACGGGGACCAGAAGGGCGGGGCCCGCCGCCGCTCGGCCTCGGCAAACGACTCGAAGCCAGAAGCTGCCAGGTGGCCTCCAAGAGAAGGTCGCCAGCAGCCTCCGCGAAAAGCCGGATTTTACTACGGAGGGGATCTGAGAGGTCGGCGAGAAGCCTGCTAGCGCCAACCTCCTGGATATAGATCCCTAGCATACGACTGGAGAGACACCGACCCCTGTGGCGAACCCAGTCCGGCGAATCTGTGAGCCTGTACCAAAAAATGGCCCCTCCTGGGCGGAGAGACGCGGGAGTGATGCCTACTTGCCCGAATGCAGAATTCCGGAAAAGTCCATGAGAGAATCCAGACAAGACCTGAAGGCTCGAGCACCACTTTGCATGAGGGAGAGGCGAGGGGAGGGCCGCAGAGAGAGGGGCTCGAAGAAATGCACAACTTGGGGAACATCAATCCTGATATGCTCACGGCGCGCGCCCACACGTCTCATTTTTGGGCCATCTCGGGGCTATCCTGAGGCCAGAGGTCCGCCGGACGCAAAGACCGTGAAACCCAGTCCCGCTCCTTCTACAATTTCACAATATGAACACTACTCTCCTCTCTCCCCTGACGACGTCCAGAAGATATCCGCCCCCCCTCCGCGTACATATTTTTTGCACACGGGATTCTGGGAACTGGGTTTTCGCATGGGTTTGTTTGTCAAAATGTTGTTCCCGCTGAAGTGCTGGCCTCATTTTCGGGCTTCCGCTTGTTCCGAATCGTGCTCCCGCCGCAGCGCTGGCCTCATTTTCGTGCCTCCGCTCGCTCCGAATCGTGCTCCCGCTGCAGCGCTAGCCTCATTTCAGCGCTTCCGCTCGTCCCGAATCGTGCTACCGCTGCAGCGCTGTCGTCATTATTTCCAGCGCCATGCCACGGCATGGTTTTCGGTCCTTCCCAACAAGCCCCAAAAATCCCTCGGAAGCGGTTACGCATTTGGTGTCGATTCGTTGATTTTTCGGGCTGTGGAGCGTCAGCAAGCCATGCTATGTCATGCTACGCGTTAGTATTCAACACCATGTTATGCCATGTAATGCTATACCATGTTACGACATCCGATTGTACGAATAGGCAGGGGATCTACGCCATGGTAAAGGATGGGAGGGAGGGGTAGGACGTCAGATATGACGCGAGCGCACCTAGCTTGCCCCCTCCCCCTCTCCCTCCTTCCCCTCCCCCTCCTCCCCCTTCTCCTCCCCCTCCTTAACCCCCTTTTCCTCCTTCACCTTTTTCCTCCTCCTCCTCCTCCTCCTCCTCCTCTTCCTCCTCATGTTCTCCTCCTCCTCCTCCTCCTTATCCTCCTCCTCCTCCTCCTCCTCCTCCTCCTCCTCCTCCTCATCATCATAGATGACTCCTCCCTGTCGCACACCGACGCTGGTCGAAAAGGCGGGCCAGACGTTTCGCCGGAGACTTCCTCACCATTTATGGATTTGACTACAGCTTCACACATGGAGGGCGGGCCGTTTTCGAAATGTGCCTCTCGCCTGAGCGCCGCGCACATCATTCGCCTTCATAAATTGTTCGAGCTTCACGGATTGAGGGCATGCCGTTTTCAAAATGTGGCTCTCGCCATAGCGCCGCGCACATTCGTTCTAGCCGCATGCAAAAGCTTAGCGGATTGAGGGCGGGTGGTTTTCGAAATGTGGCTCTCGCGATAGCGCCGCGCACATTCGTTCTAAATATGTGCAAGAGTTTCACGGAGTGAGGGCGAGACGTTTGACTTCGTGAGGGTTGTCCACTTGGCATTGGCGTTTCGACATTGGCCGGAAGGGGGGGAGGGGGGGTCTGGCTCCGGACCTCTGCTTAATGCGACTGTTTTTCAACAATGCGTCCTATGGGGCAAACTCAACCTGCTCGAAGCAGGCGCCCAAAACAGCCAAGATCTACTCCATCGGGGGGGGTGCGAGGGCCCGCGCAGATCGGCAAAACCATGAATTAGAAAACGATCACTTTTAAAAGATTCACGGATTCAGGGCGGGTCGTTTCATAATGTGCCTCTCGCTCTAGCACCGCGCACATCCGTTCTGAGAAATTGCATGAGCTTCACGGGATGAGGGCGGCCCGTTTTCAAAATGTGGCTCTCGCCATAGCGCCGCGCGCATTCGTTGAAACATGCAAGACCTTCATAGATTGAGGGCGGGTCGTTTGCAAAATGTGGTTCTCGTCTTAGCGCCGCGCACAGCTGTTGTAAACATGTACAAGTGGCTCACGGACTGATGGCGGTTCCTTTCCAAAGTGTGGCTCTCGCCTTTGCGCCGCGCACATTCGTTCGAAGCAGTTGCAAGAGTGTCACTCGTTCTCCTGGCCCAAATGGTGTTGTGGAGCGGCTCAGCATTGTGAGGTCGCGATAGTTACGTTGATTCGCGGTGTTGAGGTCCCAGAGACTGCGTTCTAGCACGATACAACATCACCAAGACGAAACAGTCAGGTTAACTCGTGGCGTTGAAGTTTCGTCAACGGTGATTTGGCACGCTTCGAGATGTTCACGTAGTTGTCCCTCAACGGGGCAATTCCCTCAGTGGGAATGACACCTTTGAAGGGGCCTACGAAGAGGGATCTTGGAGGGAGGACATATTTCAACATCGTGGATGAGTCTTGGGTTTGCACTGGTCCTCCTCCTCCTCCTCCTCCTCCTCCTCCTCCTCCTCCTCCTCCTCCTCCTCCGTCCCCCTCCTCACCCTCCTCCTCCTCCTCCCCCTCCTCCCAGGGCCCCACGCGGGGTCGGCGCTGCCCAGCCCCCCAGCGGGCTCTGTGTGGCCAGCCGCCCTGGCGCAGCCCGCCGGAGGGCCTGGGAGCCGCCAAGCGCCACGGAGGTCTCGGCCGACGAGGAGAGGATGATCGCGAGGTCGAAGGCGCCTGCCGTTCCGATGCTCTTCGGGGGGGGGGATTGGGGGGGAGCGTGGATAGAGTGTGGAAGGTGAAGGCGAAGGGCAGGAACACTACAAGGTGGCGGAGGAGAAGGGGGAGGAGGAGGAAGACGAGGAGGAGGAGCACGAGCAGGAGTAGGAGGAGGAGGAGCAGGAGGAGGAGAAAGAGGCGGGGGAGGAGAAGGAGGAGGAGGAGGAGGAGGAAGGAGGAGGAGGAGGAGGGGGAGGAGCAGGAGGAGGAGGAGGAGCAGAGGAGGAGGAGGAGGAGGAGGAGGAGGAGGAGGAGGAGGAGGAGGAGGAGGAGGAAGGAAGGAGAGAGAGGAGAGGAGGAGGAGGAGGAGGAGGAGCAGGAGCAGGAGCAGGAACAGGAGCAGGAGGAGCCGCAGGAGGAGGAGGAGGAGGAGGAGGAAGAGGAGCAGCAGCAGCAGCGGCAGCGGCAGCGGCAGCGGCAGCAGCGGCATAAGCACGGGTGGGGGAGGAGGAGGACGAGGAGGAGGAGGAGGACGAGGAGGAGGACGAAGAGGTCGAGGAGGAGGAGGAGGAAGACGAGGACGAGGACGAGGACGAGGACCGGGACGAGGACGAGGACGACGAAGGAGAGAAGAGCGATGAGAAAGGGGAGACGCAAGAGCAACAACGCACGCGAGGAGGGGGAGGGAGTCTGAGTCGGAGTTGGAAGCCCCGGCAGCTCGGATATCCTCATCTCTTATCGGGAAGGTGAGCGTTTTCTTATTCGGCGTTTCGACATTGGGCGGAAGGGGGGGGTTCTGGCCCCAGACCTGTGCTCAGTGCGACTGTTTGCAACCGTGCGTCCTGTGGGGGAGACCCCACCTGCCTGAAACAAGCGCCCAACAACCGCCAATATCTACTCCATGCAGGGGGGGGGATAGGGGGGTGCGAGGGCCCGCGCCGATCGGCGAAACAATGAATAAAAGAACGACCACAAGAGGCGCTTCTCGACTTGATGTCGAGCTGATTGCTGCTGGCGAGTTCAATCGGATTTGCAGGGGGAGCCTGCGGGGCCCTATGGCTCACGAGGCCTCTCGGGTCCGTCCACTGGGCCGAGGGATTATCCCGCGCGGGTGCATCACCCCCGATCCCGGGAGATGAAAGCAAATAATCGCACACATTACTGTTCCTCTGTAGCCTGATGCTGGCGCAGAGAAGTACACTCCAACATCCCCTCCACTCCTCCCGGCACCTCCTTGGACATCCCCGCGTCCACTAGTCGGGGCCTGAACGCCTGAGTAGCTGGGACGCGCGGACGCTGCCCCCCATTACACCTCCAAAGGATACTGTGACCAGCATTTGAAGGAGAGCCCAGCCGTGGCGACGAGAGCGCTCCAGGATGAGCAGTGGCATCGCCAGGTATAGTCTTCCTCCTCCCCTGACATCAGCAGCACGATGGTTTCAATCCGCGGCCCCAAAGATCCCGACCGCATCCCTGGGTGTAGTGGCTGGTCCCAGAACACTTTCTGACGGCCCTGGGGCCCAATAGCGCGCCCCCGAGGCCGAACTCACGAGGAAAAACATGTTGCAAGCCAGCGGCCGCAAACAAATCAGACGGCGGTCGAGAATGCGCGGGGACGCAGGCGAACGAATTGAGGCACACAAAGAAAATACACTCGGAGTGAAAAACATGCCGTCGGAGATCTGGATGTTCTCCTACCCCGAGGTGGGCGGAGGTCAAGCAGAAGCTCCGAAAACGCTACCCTGCCCGCCCTGCGCACTGACCGCCCTGCGCAGGGGCAGCAGGAGGAGGACGAGGAGGAGGAGGAAGAGGAGGAGAAGGAGCAGGAGGAGCAGGAGGATCAGGAGGAGCAGGAGGAGCAAGAGGGGCAGGATGAGCAGGATCAGGAGGGAGGAGCAGGACCAGGAGCATGATCAAGAGGAGGAGGAGGCGGAGGAGCAGGAGAAGGAGCAAGAGGAGGACGAGGAGGAACAGGAGGAGGAGAAGGAGGAGGAGGAGGAGGAAGAGGAAAAGGAGAGACGAGGAGGAGGAGGAGGAGGAGAAGAAGAAGTAGAAGGAGGGGGCGGACCGCTCCCTGGGCCGATTCCTCGTCGCCTGCCCCGTGCGCCCAAGCTCACCCAGGCATCGGACGAGGAGGCGCCGCTCGGCAGCTCGGCGCGGCTGCGCGCAACGCAGCGCCAGAGCTCAGCCGTGTTGAACATCCTCTTCTGCTGGGACTTCAACGGGAGGCGGACTGCGAGCCTCACCGCCTCGATGCTGTCCATGACCATCTGAAGCGTCATTCCTCCGCGCCGTGCTGCCACTCGATCGGCGCAAGGAGGTCGCATCTCAGCGCCCTTGCGGCCGTGAAATGCAGACGGCGGCAGATCGTGACGTAGTGCCCGATCCTGTCAGGCTCGCCGGGGCATCCCATCACACAGCCAGCACTTCTCTGCATCCTCGTGTTGGTGACCCACCCTCCCACCCACGTTCGAATCGCGGCAAGCGCCCATGCCATGGAGGCATGCCTCAAGAGGGCGCGCACAGACACCCAGTTCACCTGCAAGTTCTCCATCTGGTAGTGCTTGCGGGGTCTCTGGGTGAACAGGTCGATCAGGCCCATCGGCTCGATCTCCTCGAAGATCTTCTGGAAGTAGCTCTGCGGCCGCTAGCGCTTTCTGGCGTTTCCGGGTGCCTCCGTCTGGACCGAGCGCCACCATCGTAACGCATCCCCCTGGTCCAAGCCCCCTGCATATGGAGGCGTCGCCCGTGAAGCCCTCTGATGCGCATTTCAACGTGTGTGCAATCGCCGGTGAGCACCAGAAGGGTGGCGCCAGCTTCCCAAACCATGACTTGATAGGGTAATGCGCGCGCATCGCGCTGAGGAGGACACCGTGCAGTTGTCGCCACGTCGGCAACTCGTCCCTTCGACCTGCCTTCAACGCGAAGCGCATCAGCACCGCCGAATTGGTCTCACGGAGCCCCCTCAGCTTGGACCACCCCCAGAAACCGAGCGAGAGCCAGTCCCGCCACCGGAGTGCCGAAGAGGGCCCGCGCAGCAGCTTGGCGAAGACATGGACTTCCGACATCACCATCAGGAGGAGGAGGAGGAGGAGGAGGAGGAGGAGGAGTTTAAGGTACCCTGGAGGAGGAGGAGGAGGAGGAGGAGGAGGAGGAGGAGGAGGAGGAGGAGGAGGAGGAAAAGGAGGAGGAAAAGGAGGAGGAAAAGGAGGACGAAAAGGAGGAGGAAAAGGAGGAGGAAAAGGAGGAGGAGGAGGAAAAGGAGGAGGAGGAGGAACGCTGCGAGGCCCAGGGGGAGCCCACCCGGCACCCTCGCGTGTGGCGCCCTCTCCCTGCGACACTCCCCCCCCCCCCCTCCCTGCCTGCGGCCGTGCGGAAGAAGGCGGGCCCGTCGGCGCGCACCCTGAGGGGGCGGCCACGGGCAAGCACAGCCGGCCGCGCACCAGCACCGATCCCGGCCGGGCCCATCCCAGGAGGGCCAGGTGCCCACCCTCATCCAAAGAGGCACGCACCCTGCAGCGCTCGCTCGAATCAAGAGGGCCTCCCTCCTCCAAGGAGGCACGCGAACTGCAGTGCCCGCGTGAAGCCAAAACCTCCTCCTTCTTCCCCTCCGCCACCTCCTCCACCGCCTCCTCCCCATCCTCTTCCGCCTTCTCCTCCCCCTCCTCTTCCTCCTCCTCTTCCTCCTCCTGCCCTAATGGACACGGGGCGCGCGCTGGCTTCCTGGCCGCTGGCCCGAACTCGTGGCCGAAATCTTGGGCGAAATCGCGGGCGCAGAATCACAGGCCTGCCTGGCGCGCCGGCATGCCAAGCAGGCGTGCCCCCGCAACATCAGTGACGGCAAGGAAAAGAGAAGAGGGAACGGCAGCAGCAGCAGGAGGGCCAGCAGCAGCAGCGGGAAGAGGAAAAAAGAGGAAGCAGCAGCAGGAGAGGAGGAGAGAAGGAGTCGTCGAAATTGGCCCGCCAGTTAGTCGCGCGCCTCCTCCTCCCCTCCGCCTCCTCCTCCTCCCCCTCCTCCTCCTCCTCCTCCTCCTCCTCCTCCCCCTCCTCCTCCTCCTCCTCCTCCTTCGCCCCTTCCCCCTCCTCCTCCTCCTCGCCAGCCCAACGGGCCAGAGGCGCGCGAAGATCTCCGGCGACTGCCCCACAGCATTTCCACTTCGCGCGCGCGGGGCGGCCCCCAGGGGCCCCCGGACGCGAAGTACCCCGGCCAGGTCGGGCCAGAGATGGTTTTCCTCGTGGGCGCGGCTTTCAGGCGCCCCAAAGCGACCCAAAAAGGCCCCAGGAGGCGCCCAAGATGGTCCAAGGGAGCTCCGAGTCGTCGATCGATCGGTCCGCGACACCCACTATGGCTTCCAGACGGCCCACGACGCGCACAAGACCCCCGAAGAGACCATCGCGAGCTGAAACGATACCCGAAAACGCGGTTCTGAACTTAAAAGAAAGAGGGTAGCAGAGAGACGAGGCGGAAACAGACCGGGGGCGACACCGCTCAAATGACGTGTGGAGCCGAGATTGCGCGCAAGCCGCACGCCGAATGCCCAACATCGGAACGGATCGGCGACACAACAATTCTGAACAAAGAAGACGCGAAGAATTTGGAAATATGATTTTGATCGCCTCGGAAAAAAATCGTTGCACCAATCCGCTCGGGGTGCGCCGCTTCATGACATGCTTGACCTACGCCCTGGCCGATGTAAAAAGAGCGGCGTGCGGCGTGTGGAATTTCGTTCGGATAAAAACATTTGAACAATCCCCCGCCAAATTTAACCATGCCAAACAATTGCTTCGCTTAGCAGGGGGATCAGTGGCTGGGAAAACGTAACAGCAATCAACACCGAGGCGCTAAAATGTCCAATGTATCGTTGAGGAGTGGCGTCGACCTTCCGCCTGACATCAATTACGAAATAATCGAGCGCGCGCCTTGACGCGGGTGCGCAGGCGATCCAAATGCTGTGTTTTCGCGGCTGGGGAAATTCTGGCCATACCAATTCCAAAATAGAACATGCCGGTGCTTTGTTTTCGTACTCGGATGAAGACGCGCAGCACCTCCGCCAAGTAGAACGGTGCCAAAATCCAGAGTTCGCTTCCAGGGTATTGTGGCGCGGCTTGTTTGAAAGATCGCAGCTTGCAGCACACAAGATTTTGACAGAATATCCCAATACTTTTTTTGGACGCACGCAACTCCCATCCTGTCGGGCACGTGTCCCCGCTCTTCTGGCGGGGAAAAGACATCATGTCGCAGCGATTGCACGCAGCTTGGGCCCACACGCTGCGAATCAACGACTTAACCGACGACATACAACACTCGGGGAGGATGTGCGGTGAGGATGTTTTGCTTAGCGTGTCGCGGCGGCGGCCCCAGCGACACACACCACACCCTGCAAGCGGACTGCGCGTCGCTCCGCTTTTTGCGGGCCCGGAGGCTTCGAGAGCCTCGGCGCGTGGACGCCCGGGGACCGTGACGTGCTTAGCGCGTCGCGCCGAAGCCCGGTGGGCCAAACTGGCAGCACGGCACTCTACTCCAGATTTCGTAATAAAAGGGAGGGGGTCTGGACCCTCCAAGACAAGCCATTTCAGACCCCCCCCGTGGGAGAACCCTCCAGAACATCGTCCCCAGACCCCCCCAGGCCCTCCAAGATGGCCTGGAAGAGACCCCCCCGAAATGAGACCCCCCTCCCTTTATTACGAAATCTGGGGTAAGCACTAGATCCCGACCATACGAGGCTGGCGCGTGGACTTGCGACAAGAGGCACTGAGAAGTCGGATGATGTACACCCCAGCTCAAAGTTAAACACACTTCACGTCAAGAAGATCGACGTTACGCCATGCGTTTTCTCAAACAGTTGTCCAGGTCCAGACATACGAACATTCTCCGAAGAAAAGAAGCTTCAAGAAAACGCCCAGGGTCCAGTCCATATTCCTGATTTTCTGGAGCGAAATTCGGAGTCCACAGAAATTCATATTTGTTCTTAAGATTTTCGATGGATGGGGTGAGATGAGCGCCGTCGACAGTCGGGGACGGCGCCGAGGGAAGGAGGCTTGGCAGCAGCGCAGAAGCTCAAAAAGGGCCGCAGGGCCGAGGCAAAAGCGGTCCCCAGCGACGGGGCCAAGTCTAAGGGAGTGGGCGGCAGCCAGAGCACGAGACCGATCCAGTGGCAGGCGGATTACAGCCAACCCGTATGATAAGGATGCGCGGTAAGGATGCAAGGGCCTTGGGAAGCCACGTCGACGCTCTGCAAGGGGGAGCGCGGCCAGCGAAAGGATGCAAGGGTAACCCTGCAGAGTCGCTCATCCCTACTATGCGGGTTGGCTGTGAGAGCCGAACCACTCGACCGATCCTGGGGCAGTCGGTGACGGGGCCGAGCCAATCGGGCACCCGCTGACATGGATCGGGGATCCGCGGATCTGGCGACTGGGCGCCAGATCCCCACGCACCGGGGACGGCACGCCCCGAAACACGAAGGCCAGCGCCGCCTGCTTTGGCGACGGCGCGTGCCGCTCCCGCATGGAAACGGGACCCGTCGCTAATCCACGCGGTCTGCAGACATCGTGCCGAAACACAGGGGCCCCGAGCAGGGAACGAAGGGTGCTCTTCTGGCCACGGCGGGCCTCCGCCTCGAAGAGGCCCCCCGATCTAGACCTGAGGAGCGGCCCAAAAACCAAAGCCCCTCAGGTCTAGATCGGGGGGCCTATTCGAGGCGGAGGAGCCCAAATTTGGGCTCAGGAGGAGCCCAAATTTGGTCTCGAGGAGCCAGGACCAATTTGGGCTCAGGAGGAGCCCAACTTGGTCCTGGCTTCAGCGCCATCCATGTGTGCGCTTCCTGCGATGGGAAACGATCGGGGGGAACCGGCTCAGAGAGGGGGGGGGGGGGGGGGAAACATCGAGCTGCAATCGGCGATGCATCGCCGATGGATCGGCAACAGGCCCCCGATAGCCGAACCGCACGCTCCTGGGTGCTGTGGGCCATCGGGCCCCTATCGGCGAGCGATTGGGCGATTGGGGGTCGATGCCGTCCCCCCTGAGTCGACGGTCAGGAACTCTTGCTTAGCGTGTCGCGGCGGCGGCCCCAGCGACACGCTATGCCTTGCAAGCGGATGGCGTGTCGCTTCGCTCTGCGGGGCGGGAGGCTGGGGAAAGCTCGGGATGTTGACGCCTGGTGACCAGGAAGTGGTTAGCGTGTCTCTCCAAAGCGTGGTGGGCCAGAACCGGCGGCGCAACTCGGGCGCGGCCTAACCGACCCCTAGCAAACCATCCCCTTCCGTGACGTCACCCTAGCCTTTCAAGCTCCCCTCTGGCCGCATACACACGTCTTGAGGCGAGGCGAGAGGAACGTCACGGACGAAGATGGTTTACCAGCGGCCCCATTAGGCAGGCCCTGAGCGACACGCTAAGCCAAAGTTCCCGACCGCATCGACCCCTGAAGGTCCTAACGTTGTCCCTGGCCCCCGAGCCAAGGGGAACGGCGGCGGCCAGCGCACGAGACAGGGCCAGGGCCAGGGCCTGGCGCGGCGACAGGGCCGAGCCCTGTTGAGAAAGTTAACGTCGCGCACAAGGGTGCAGGGGTTACGCGAAGCGTCTAAAATACTCTGGGTTTCTTACTAAGCGTGGGGGGGGTACCCCCCCGACGTGGGTCAACCTCGCCTCGTCGTCGCGCCGCGACGGGGGTCAGAGCGCCTTCGGCGCGCAGTGGCTGCCCGCGACGGGGGTCGTTGCGGGGCTGTCGGCGGGGGTGACGCCCCCCCCGACGCCTATTAAGAAACTCGGAGTAGGAGATTGGGGGTCGATGCACCCCTCACCAGGCCTATCCCCCCTAACGTTTCCCTTCTGTCCTGCACTGCACGCAAGAGTGGCCCACAGAAAAAATTGGTCTTTGATGCGCGGCCTTGGTGGTATGCGATGGGGCCAAATACGAGCGCGCAGGCCGCTGCCATCGCATCGCGTTCGTTCAGTGTGCGGGTGGGCCCAGTGGGCCTTCACAACCAGCAAGGGTTGGCGGCGCGCGCAGAGGGGCAGGGGTAGAGGCAAGGCTTCTTAGGAGGCTGCTCCTTAGAAGGCGCCGGCCCTGCATCTGCAGAAAAGGCCCGCGCCTTCTAAGAAGCAGTGGTGATTCTAAGAAGGCTTCACCCCTCCTCCTAACCCCCCTTCTGCGCGTGACCGAGAAAGCTCCGCGGCTGCTCAGGGAATAGCCAGGGCCAGGGGCCAGAATTACTTACGGTCGGAAACTGTTGGATAGCGTGTCGCGACTGCGGCCCCGGCGACACGCAATGCCCTGACGCCTGGGGGCCAGGAAGTGGATAGCGTGTCGCGCCAAAGCGTGGTGGGCCAGAACGGGCGGAGCGACATGCTATCCAAAAGTCCCCGGCCTTTTTAAAAAATCACGACCTGCAATTTTCAGGGGGGACCCCTTACAGGGCCCCAGAACTGGCCTCTGGGGGCCCTTACAGGGCCCCGGAACTGTCAAAAAACAACTCGGGATGAAAAGCTGGTCCCTGGAAAGACAAGGTCCCAGACCTCCAGGGTCCTCGTTGTGAAAAAATGGCATCGTCGGAGCTCTGGGAAGTGAGAACCTCTTCAGGGAAAGCACGGTCTGGGGAATCGATTATGTCTGGCACCTGCTTCAGCCCTGCTCTGCAAAACCTGTACTATTATGCCTTTGGCTGCAAGCTGCGCTACGCGGTGAAGCCCGAAATGCTGGAACCTTCACCGTGTGCATTCTCCCTTCATGACTTATCGCCTATCCTCATCCTCCCTTCCCCTCCCCCTTCATCCTCCTGATGTCACGCGCTAGCATCCTCCATGCGGTCTCCTGTCTACTCCTTCTGCCGCAGGATGCCGCCGACTGCACAAAGCGCTTGGGATCCCCCCCGAAACGCCAGGACATTGGCCATGAGGACCCTCATCTTGCTCCGTCTACTGCTCCTGCTCCTGCTTCCTGCTCTTCCTCCTCCTCCTCCTCCTCCTCCTCCTCCTCCTCCTCCTCCTCCTCTGCCTCCTCCTCCTCCTCTGCCTCCTTATCCCTCAAATACCCGCTGAATCATCCTCACTCCGAAGTCCTCCCCGCGGCCCCACGTCAACTCTCCTCTGCGATTGACGGCCGCAGACCGCGCTGAAGAGGTGGCGCCCCCCCAAAGAGACGCGCAGCGCCTGCTGAAAGAGATGTCTTTCCTCCGAGGTTGCCCGGCCCCGAAGAGGATGGAGGGGCAACGACGCGGAGAAGCCTCAGAAGCCCTGCTTTGCTCCCCGGCGAGATGCAGACCGCCCCTGAGAACTGTTGCTCGCGCCGACGCGGTCGCTCGGGCTGCCGCAGCGCCTGTGCGGAAAGCGCTGCAGAGGAAGCGTGGTGCGCGTGCCCGCCCGGAGAACCAAGAGGGGCTGGCTGGGGCCTCAAGCCCATCTCGATCATGAAAGCGACCAGGAACAGGACCTGCAGCCAGAAGAGTAGTTCCGAAGGCTTGCCGTCGTCGCTCCGAATAGTGACCTGGGCCATTTACACAAGAGGCGCCTCCCGCTGGCAAACTTCACAGACAAGCCAGGTCATCAGCCAATAATGCAATATACAGAAGAAGGAAGGAAGGATGGGAAGAGCTCGGAGGGAATTGGGCAGAGTCGCACCATGCCTGACGTATGCGGCCGCCTGTCTGTTCAGCCAGAGCTGAACCCCAACTATGCAAGATCGGCTGACGGTAACTGCAAGGCCGAAGTGAGAGCCGCAGCTGGACAAATCGAAGCGTCAACGAAGTTGGTGCAATGCTCTGCAATCCATTCGAATCGATTGTAGCAGGAAGCCTAACACATGGAGGCATCAATCTGCACAGCGTGCCACAACGCCTGGCGAATCTCAGCGTGACCGTAGCACGTGCATGACAAGTCAAAGGCGCTGCTGTGCTGACATAACAGGAGTTCCAAGGATGCGCCACTTGCGCGAACTGTCACGCAAGTGGGCAACATGTCGTACCGCGTTCCCGCGAGAACATGTCGGGGTTGGAGGTCAAGCGCACGTCCAAAATCACCGGAAGGGCTCCAGTGCGCACAGCAAGTTAAAGTAAGCTTCACGATGATACCAGCACGTGGACCGCGACCTGTTCATTCGCGCAGGTGTAAGACCGTATGGGTGTGGTATGCCTTACGTGTACTGTGTGATACCCACATCCACACCCACGTCCAAGCCAGTGTCCAAACCCATGTCCAGACCACGTCCGGAGCCACGTCCAAACCAACGTCGAAACTCAAGTCCACACCCACGTCGAGGCCTAAATCTAAACCCACGCCCGAAACGCCAAATCTGGACCCGCCGGGGCGAACACGGGCCAGCACAGGCAGACGGGGCCAGTCCCTTCAGAACCAAAAAGTAAGAACATCTATGTAAAAGCACTGATTGGGGAACTATGTGTTTCGATTAGGTGGTGCGAACTAAAAACCTGCCCGACACATTTTCACCCCGCAGACCAGCCAAGCAATGGTTAAGATGAAGCGAGCCTCCAAGCACCAAGAATAACCACGAACGCGCGCACATGAGATGCACGCGGTGGAATGCTCTACAGACATAGGTGCGTGGCTGGAACCATATTGACCGACAGCTGAGAGCGAGACAATTCCGAAACCCTGCTCGACACATTGGGCTCTTGATTTGTCAGATCGGCACTCCCATATCGCGGGCAAGACTGCCTCTCGAAATACACAGCACACGTGTCCAATATGATTTGATTTCGACGCCACGGATTCGGGCCCCCGATATTGTAACAACTCTGAGCTCAGCCCACGAGACGTTAATGCTTCATAGCAGCGGCAAATGTGTCAACACGTTCGGGCGCCTGCTAGTTTGCACATCCGCTTGCATATTTGCTCGATTGCCTGATTGCGTTGTCTGGCTGGTTGCACGGTTGCTTGCTCATTCGCATGTGTGGTTGCCTGTATGCTTGTAAAGTGCGTACATGCTTGCGTGCATACAGTATTGATTGCTGGCTGGCGCTGTTGCGTTGTACGGATGCATTATAGCCTGCTTGCTCGTATTACTCAGTTGCGCTCTTTTCTCACGTGCTCGATTGCTTCATTGTATGGCTGCCTGCATGCTTTCGATCTGGACTGTTTGCTTGTATGATTGTTCCGAATATGCTGCGTGTCGACTTGCTCGAGTCTTTGCTTACCTGCTTGGTAAATTGTTCACCGTCTCGCTGGCGTGCGTGCCTGCCTGCATGCATGGCTGCTACTATGTAAAGTAAACAGATTGTTCGCCTGAATGCGTACATGCATGCTCGTGCACTGCTCTGCTAGCGTACTTAGTTAATGATTTGCGAATGCTTGTGTTGCTGTTATATTGCGTGTCTGCTTTCGCGTTTGCATTCATGCTTCCACGCGTGCATTGTTACCTGTTGGCTTGACAGCACGCTGACGTGTACCCATTTGTGTGCAGCGAGGGTGCACATACGTGCGAAGACTCAGGTATCGTCCACATAAGCGTCCCTTTACGCATTGCATGGGGGAACGAAGACCTGATGTCCTTCTACAAAAAGAATCCCCCATCGGAGGCATCACCTCGATGTCAATTCCAATGATGATGGCGTTCAGCACGATGAGGCCAGCGAAAAGATAGTCGGCCTGCGCTTCGCCACTGTACTTGTCTCGACCACAATGATGTGCAACACCAAGGAGGTCACGATGCAGCGACGCTTGAAGCAAGGACGGCACAACCAGCAGAGCGAACGTGGTCAATAGAAGGTCACTGTAGACTTATGTGCGACACATAGGGCGGGATGTGACTGAAATGCACGGCATCAGAGTCTGAAAAGGCCACACTCAAGCGGTGTCGCGGTCGGTGCATATCGGGCCGCGCACAGGCTGTCCTACAAACAACCCATGCCTGAAAAAACACTCAAGCTCCCCATCGCACGAGATCATTCGGTGAGTGTAGACGGCGGAAACATTAGGTATGCCAAAGGCCAAATACGGTTCATGCCACAGCCCCCTGCCCGCCCCCCGAGCAAACACCCCCTCGTAGTCCCCTCTGCAGCGCAACTGAGCGATCCAGGGCTCGGGCGTGATGCACGGGCATCGAACACGACCCTCAGAAGACACACGATGACACTCACGAGACCCAGGTACTGAGAGCCCAGCCGGAAGCGGAACGCACGCGCCGAATCAGCCCGCGAACCAGCCAGATCAAACTTATGCAAGTTTTCCAGGGATGCGGCCAAGAATGGCGGGATCGGAAGAACAATCATCCTTCGCCCCCCCGCCTGCTGCTCCTGTTCGTGTCCTCCTGCGTATGTGTAAGGGGGGTCGTGGGCGAGGCCCTGCAACCTCGGTCTCTGCCAGAGTGGCTTGTCTGCAAGTGCCTCGTGTCTGAGTAGCTGGTTCGCATCATGGAGGGCTGCATAAATGAGCTGTCTGGTTCGCGGGCTGATTCGGCGCGTGCGTTCCGCTGCCAGCTGGGCTCTCAGTACCTGGGTCATCATGGGTCTTCTGTCTTCTCAGGTTCTTGCTCGATACTCGCGCATCACGGCTCCAATACCTAAGGAACGTGTGAAGCACGCGGACGCGGATTCGTTCTGATCGGCCAGTGGAGGACACGCTTGAGCAGGACGGCGCGATGCAGGTAGCAAAGGGGGCGAATAACAAAATGGGGAGACGGTGCCAGCCTGGTCGGTCTTTATCCAGGGCAGGTCCACGTCGGCCTTGCACTGGCTGCCCACTAGATCCCCTCGTACCCATTCCCCTGCCCTCATCCTCCAATCGTCGAAGCACGTGGCAGCGAGAAGGGAGACACGAATCGCGCACGGGCATATGGATGAAGGCGACGTGTGGTACCGCCAACGATGTCTCTAGCTCCTGGGCGCCTGCACGCTCCCGACAGTGGACGATTCTTGCGCCCTGCTGACTTCAGACTCAGCGTGCAGCGCATGCCCGCCCAGCATTTCGAAGAACAACGTGCGCACGTGAACGCATGCGCGCATGAATATTTGCATTTGTGCCAGGTCATGTGGGTGCGCGTGCAAATCCACCGTCGCTGGCCGGGAAAAATCTACAAGGGGATTCTTGAAACCAGGAGACCCCCCCTCCCCTCTTTTGCTCACACACAAGAACAACGGGGCAGGTCAGAAACCAGGGCCACCCCACTCAACCACCATCACCCAACCACCACCCCAACCGCAAAGAATAGGGAGGGGATCGGACCCCCCCCCCGGGATTTTCTTCGGGGGGTGATCCAGAACCTCCCGCACACACCCCGGCAACGACGACGATGACGGCGACTTCTTGGACTTTGGGCAGCGCGGTGCAGAAGGCCAAGGGTAGCAGGGAGCCTGCGAGAGAGGACTGACAAGACGCTGATGAATGCTGGGCCAAATATAGAAGCATAGTTGACACGCTGGCTAAAGCTATTGGCTCTGGCCTGCTCGCGCCCTGAACTTGAGAGGAGGGTGGAAAAGGGAGCACGGGAAGGAAAGCTCGGATCGCGGCGTGTAGTACGGTTTCGCCGTGCTACCGCTTTCGCCACGACGACAACGACCACGACGACGACGACGACGCCTACGACGACGCCTACAACGACGACAACGTCAGTGGCGGCGGCGGCGCACTTAACGCCAGTGCCCGCGCCAGGCGCCGGCCATGATAGAATGCTACGAGGTCTCGGCTCAGCTCTTCCAGGACGTTCTCAAGGCCCGACCCAATTTTCATAGAATCCGGTTAATAACCTTGAATCCGACTATCATGAGACTTTCCCGGTTTCGACTGACCCAGAATATAGCCACACAGAAGCAAGATTCGGGTTTATCAGATCCGACCTGGGCTGGGGTCAGCTCAATTGGATGTTGCTCGTATGGAATCCCACCAGGGCTCAATCCAGCTTTGGTACAATCCGATTACAATCGGATTCAGTTCAATGAGAAGCCTAAGAGGCTCGATCTAGCTTTAACAGAACCCTACTATGTTTGTATACAACTCTCAAATACTAGCACGAGGGGTCTATCCAGCTCTAACAGAATCCCACATTTAGCTCGGCTACAAATCGTATAAGACTGCATCTGGTTCTGATCGTACCCAACTAAAGTTCAGTACAGCTCGAACAGAATCCTGCCAGGACTCAATCCAACTTTGATAACATCCCCCTAGAGGTCGATCGAGCTGTCTCAGAATACTACTGGGGCCCGACACAGCTCCGATGGAATCCTGCCAGGGCTCTAACCAGCCTGAACCGAATCCTTCTAGGGCTGGATCCGGCTCGGACAGAAACCTGTTAAAACTCGATCCAACTCTCACAGGATCCTACCACGGCTGGGTCCAGCTCTAGTATGATCATATCAGGGATGGAACCCGGCCTGCTGGTCTTATAATAAACCTCGAACCACCATTCGTGCGAAATCTCTGTAGAATTGTATCCAGCCTTGATAGTGCCCCACTGAGGCAGGATCCATCGCTAGTAGAATCCGAATCGGGTTGGATCCAGCGCGAATAGAAACCTATTCGGGCCAAAACCTAGCTTCAGTAAAGTCCTGCTCGGGCTAGATCCAGCTTCCATCGCATCCCACTCGGGCTCGATCGTAAGCGTCGTCGACGTCGTCTTCATTGTTTCCGTCGTCGCCATTGTCCTCGTCGGCGGCGTCGTCCATCGTCGTCATCGTCGTCTGCGTTGGCGTCGGCGTCGGCGTCGGCGTCGTTGCCGACGTGGCCGTCCGTCGCGCGTCGTTCATCATCGACGTCGTCGTCGTCGCGGTCGTCGTCGCCGCCGTCGTCGCCGTCGTCGCCGTCGTCGTCGGCGGCTTCGTCGGCGTCGTCGTCGTCGCCGTCGTCGTCGTCCGTCGCCCGTCGTCCGTCGATGCCGTTGGGGGGGCGGGGGGGGATTACAGGTGGCTCAAAATGTGGCTCTATGTAACGAAGCTGTTTTCTTACAGAGTTCCTAGTGCAATAGAGGCGGACACGCGATGATTTTGTTTGGTGTTCAACAATGGTTTGAATTATGTTCTGTTATATCTATAAACAAAAAGCTGATGCTACACAAACACCAGGAACACACAAGCGCCGCGCGCGAAGGAGCAGCGATACCTAAATCAGGATGGCCACGGAGAGAGGCGTGGAGATTGCATCCCCGCGCCCTGGACCGCGGCATTACGCTGCAACTTTAGTGCCACTTGGGTGTTCTTAGATCTGGGCCGCGTCGCCCTCGACGCTGCGATCTTGCGCATGCCTATTGGAGGAGGAGGACGAGGGGGAGGAGGGGGAGGGAAGGGGCGGGGGGGGGGCGAGGGATGGAGGGGAAGGAATCGAATCGCCGTTGTTTTATTCGCGCCCCCATGACATTCGCACTGCATCTAGTTTAAAAGGGGGGGGGCGGGAAGGGGGGGGGGGGCATTCCGACTGCACCCCCGTTGGATTCGCATCGCGCGAACCTTGGAAGAGCGCGGAGGGAAGAAGGGGGGCAGGGAGGGGGGGGGGAGGGGTTGCGAGAGAGGGGGGGGGGGGGGGGCGGCACAGGGCACGCGCGCGCAGCGATCGGCTCCACCTCGCACTCCCCCCGCGCAACGCAGAATGGACAGTGGAAGGGGGCGGCGGTTGCCTCTCGCGCCCCCCGCGCGCAGCGCAGAGGATGAAATGGGAAGGGGGGGCGGTTGCTCTCTCTCTCTCTCTCTCTCTCGCTATCTCTCTTCCCTTCCCGCCCCCCCCCCCCCCCCTCATGTTGCGCGTCGACTATGTTTGTGTTTGATCTCTCTCTCTCTCGCTCTCTCTCTCTCTCTCTCTCCTCTCTCTCTCTCTCTCTCTCTCTCTATACATATCTCTGTCTCTCTCTCTCTCCTCTCTCTCTCGCTCTCTCTCTCTCTCTCTCTCTCTCTCCTCTCTCTCTCTGGTTATACAGGCCACCACTCCTTTGGTTTGGGAGGATAGGTGTTGACCCCCCCCCCTGCCAGCAGCTACAGCAAGCGCTCTTTCCACTACCATGTGCATGTTCATAACACACTTGCTGCTTAACAAGTGTAGGACAATCCTTTTTGTTTGAACATCTGTTCTTGACACCAGTGATATGTAAGAGCACGATTGATGACGAGGAGAAAGCAAGATGAGGAGAAATGATGGGGAGGTCTGGTGCTGCTGCTCCTCCTCCTCCTGTTCGCATCAGCTCCTCCTCCTCCTACTCCCCCTAACTCCTCTTGATCGTCCTCATCATCATCATCATCATCATCATCATCATCATCATCATCATCATCATCATCATCATCATCATCATCATCATCATCATCATCATCATCATCATCATCATCATGGATCCTCCTACTCCGCCTCCCCTCACTTCCACATCCTGGTCCTTCTCCTCCTCCTACTCCCTCCTCCTCCTCCTCCTCCTCCTCTCCTCCTCCTCCTCCTCTTCCTCCTCCTCCTCCTCCTCCGCCTCCTCTCCTCCTCCTCCTCCTCCTCCTCGTCATCATCATCATCATCATCATCATCATCATCATCATCATCATCATCATCATCATCATCATCATCATCATCATCATCATCATCATCATCATCATCATCATCATCATCATCATCATCATCATCATCATCATCATCATCATCATCATCAGCATCATCATCATCATCATCATCATCATCATCATCATCATCATCATCATCATCATCATCATCATCATCATCATCATCATCATCATCATCATCATCCTCATCCTCATCCTCATCCTCGTCCTCCTCCTCCTTCTCCTTCTCTTTCTAATATAGCCCCAGCCGTCTTAGTACTGCACCTCCTCCTCCTCTTCCACCTCTGGGTGTCCCCGCTTTTTCCCCTGATTCCTCCTACCCCTCACCTCAGGCTCTCTCCTATGATTCCTTCGCGTCCTCCACCTCCTCCTCCTCCCGCCCCTTTTACCACCCCTCCTTCCAACTCCCCCTCCTCCTCCTCCTTTTCCTTCTTCTCCTCCCCATCATCCCTGTTCAGTTCCTACTCCTCCTCCTCCGCCTCCGCCTCCTCCTCCTCCTCCTCCTCCTCATCATCATCATCATCATCATCATCATCATCATCACCATCACCATCATCATCGTCATCATCATCATCATACTCATCAGCATCACCATCAGCATCACCATCATCACCAGCACCGCCATCATCAGCATCAACAGCATCATCACCACCACCACCACCATCAACATCACCATCACCACCATCATCGTCACCATCATCGTCACCACCGGGTTCGGGGGCGAATCGCCCCCCTGCGAAAATCATCAGAGGATCCTTGCGTGATTGTGTGTTGTTTTCCCTTTATTCCTATACCCCCATTTCCTTTTCCCGATTGCTTCATGCTCTTCATGTTTCAACGTTCGCGAACCTCCATGGGCGAATCTCTCTGGATGGCCGCGTGGTGAGGAACTCGGTTCTGCGAACCTCGCTGACTCGGGTACGTGACCACTTGGGGCGGGGGTGGGACATCCGCCCCTCCCTTGCTGCTGGCGGCGCATGGGGGCGGGAAAGAAAGAAAGACAAAAAACGCTGTATTTGCTTTATGTGTTTTTGCCCCCCCCCCTCCTAGGCGCCAGCAGCGAAGGACTGCAATCGCAGCGCATGGCAATCGCATTGACTTTCGTTGCAACCGCATTGCAGCAGCAGTGTTATAGCACTGACTGTCGCAGTAATAGTACTGTAGTAGTGTAATAAATACTCGTTGTGCTCTACTACTGTAGCATGTTAGAACCGCCGTGGTAGTACTGCATTAATGGTGTTGCAGTACAGTGTTAGTCCTGTAGCTGTAGTAGAAGTACTCGTAGAAGTAGTAGCAATAGTAGTAGAAGTAGTAGAAGTAGTAGAAGTAGTAGTCGTAGTAGTAGTAGTAGTAGTAGTAGTAGTAGTGGTGGTAGTAGTAGTAGTAGTAGTAGTAGTCGTAGTAGTAGTAGTAGTAGTAGTAGTAGTAGTAGTAGTAGTAGTAATAGTAGCAGTAGCCGTAGTAGTAGTAGTAGTAGTAGTAGTAGCAGGATCACTCCGGCCTTGCAGTAGAGGTCATACCCGAGCGTTTGTTCTAGTAGTCGCACTGTATTAGTGTAGTAGAAGTAGTCCACGACTGTAGTATTCGAGCAGAGTAGCAGCATCCTCGAACTATAGTGCTTCAGTGGTAGTCTGCAAAAAGAGTGCTGCAGTATTGTGGGGCTGTGCCGTACTACTGCAATAGTGGTACTGTAGAAGCAGCACTCTAGTATATAATCCGTACGAGTAGTATTGCCTGCAGTGATTGCACTACTGTAGTAGCACTACTCAAATGCCGTAGTCTAGCAGCACGGTTGTAGTACTCCAGTACTGTAGTGCTGTAGTGGTGGCATTGAAACAGTCGTAGCACTGCAATCTAGCAGTAGTACTGCCGTAGTGGTACTTTAGTACTGAACCAGTGGTACTCTGATACCGTGCTAGGCCAGTCGCATTATTGCATTAGCGAAGTGGCCGCACTGTAGTAGTCCTGCAGTTGTATTCGGAATAGTAGTACTCAGGTCCCGCAGTAAAGATCACGTTCTAGTACTTGTTTTGTGGTAATCGCACTGCAGTACTGTCGTAGAAGTAGTCCCCTAATGTAGTCTCCTCGAACTGTAGGGCCTCAGTGGTAGTGATGTAAGAAGAGTGCTGTACTATTTTGGCGCCGTGCTGTACCACTGTAATGCTGGCAGTGTAGATGCCGTGCTCTAGTAGTTCCTTCGTACAGCAGCACCCTACTACTCCCTGCAATGAGTGTGCTGCCGTACTGTCGTAAGAATATCCGGATGCCCTAGTATATCAGCACTGTTGCAGTATGTTAATACTGTGGTGCTGTAGTGGTGGCACCGAACTAGTCCTAGTACAGTTGTCTCGCAGTAGTACTGCAGTAGTGGTACTCTAGTGCTGGACCAATGGTACTCTGACACCGTGCTAAGCCAGTAGTAGAATTGCGCTAACGAAGCGGCAGCGCTGCAATAGCCCTGCAGCTGTAATGGTAGTATTCAGGTCTCGCAGTAAAGATCAGATTCTAGTACTTGCTTTAATACTCGCACTGCTATAGTGCCATAGTAAGTCGCTACTGTAGTACTCCAGTACAGCACTCGTACCCTTCAGCTGTAATGCTTTAGCGGTGGCGTTGTAGGAAGAGTGTTGTACTATTGTGAGCTGTGCCGTATTCTTGCAGCGGTGGCGCTGTAGAAGCAGTGCTCTTGTACAGTATTCGTAAAAGTACTATTCTACGACTGCTTGCAGCGCGTGTGCTACAATACTGGAATAGGAATACTTTAGCACTGTCGTAGTGCTCCAGTACTGTTGTGGTGTTCTGGTATTGCCGGGGTATCGCAGCACTGATGTAGTGCTCTAGTCCTGATGTGCTGTAGTGGTGGTAATACAAATGCTGTAGTACAGTACTCTAGCAGAAATACTGCACTCGTGGCACTCTAGTAGCGTATAGCAGTCTAATACTGGCAGCAGTAATAGCGGAACCCTACCATTGCAGTATTCAGTGGATTTTATTGCAGTCGTAGTAGTGCTCTGGCACAGTAGTAGTGGTAACACTGTAGTACCGGCTGTACGGGCAATACCAGATTGTACTGCAGCAGCACTCTAGTACGGTCGCACTGTAGTAGCACTAGTAGCCGTAGTAGCCGTAGTAGTAGTAGTAGTAGTAGTAGTCGTAGTAGTAGTAGTAGTAGTAATAGTAGTAGTAGTAGTAGTAGTAGTAGTAGTAGCAGTAGTAGTAGTAGTAGTACTGGTATTAGTAGTAGTAGTAGTAGTAGTAGTAGTAGTAGTAGTAGTAGTAGTAATAGTAGTAGGAGTTGGAGCAGGAGTAGTAGTAGTAGTAGTAGTAGTAGTAGTAGTAGTGGTAGTAGTAGTAGTAGTAGTAGTAATCACAGTAGTACTGATAGTGTCGTAGGAGCAGTCGCACTCCAATACTGTAGTAGTAGTAGTAGTAGTACTGTTATTAAAAATGTACTGGTAATAATACCCTAGTGCAGCAATAACAGGGCTGAGACTCAGGCTAGGCTTTGGTTGAGGCTTCGGCTTCGGCTTCGGCTGGGGTTCATGTTAGGTTGAGGCTGAGGCTTAGACTGAGGCTTAGGCTAGTCTTCGGCTAGGCTTAGGCTGAGGTTAACGCCAAGGCTTAGGCCGAGGTTCGGGCGAGGGTCAGGCTATGCTTAGGCTGAAGTGTGGGCTAGGCTGCGGCTTAGGCTGAGGCTGGGGCTCAGGCTGGGCTTAGGCAAGGCTTAGGTTAAGCTGAGGCTTAGGCGGAGCTGGCTTGGGCAAAGGCTCAGGCGTGGCTGGCTTAGGCTGGCTTAGGCTGAGGCTCAGCCCGCCCCAAGAAGAAGTTATCGCATCGTCGCGGAAGGAGCCATGCGAGGACATGGAGGACGCGGGTGTTCAAACACGTATTTTGTTTGGTCGGAGGCAGCACGCGCATCAGCCAACAACTCTCCTGCACGAGCCACCATAAGGACAAACAAAACATGAAAATCGCAGGGGGGGGGGGGGGGGGGGGGGTTTGGCCCCCTGACCCGTCACCACCACCATCATCATACTCAGCAGCAGTATCATCACAATCATCAGCAGCAGCCTGATCACCACCATCATCGTCATGATCATCATCACCATCAGACTCATCATCATCGTCGTCGTCATCCTCATCATCGCCATCACCATATGCATCATCATCACCATCATGCCAGATACGTCATCATCAAAATCAGCATCCGCAGCATCACCATCAGCGTCATCATCATCAACACAGTCGTGATCATAGTCGTTATCGTCATCAACTGCATCACCGATCATCATGCTTATCGCCATCAGCATCACCATCAATATCAGCACCAATACCATCACCATCGTCATGAACTGCACCATCGTCATCATCAGCATTGTCGGCATCGCCATCGTCATCGTCATTGCCATCATCCTCATCACCACCACCATCACCATCACCATCACCGTCACCTCCTCCTCCTCGCTCTCCTCCTCCCCCCCGCCTGTAAGAAGCGGGCGACGGCGATGGCGACGACGACGACGACGACGACGACGAGGAGGACGACGACGACGACAACGGGCCTCGGCCAGCATCCTATGCTTTGGCAGCGACGCCTGCGGCGATGCCCTCAACGCCATGGCGCGCGCGCGCGCGCCTGGGCGCGCGTGGCCGGGCCGCTCCAGGCCTGGGCCGAGCGGACGGCGCCGACGAAGCGACGATGAGAGGGGGAGGCGAGAGGAGGGAGGAGGAGGAGGAGGAGGAGGAGGAGGAGGAGGAGGAGGAGGACGAGGAGGAGGACGAGGAGGCGTAGCGAGAAGAAGAGGAGGGGAACGGGGGAGGAGGAGCGCCAAGGAGAAGGAGGAGCCAGGAGGAGAAGAGAAGGGGGAGGAGGAGGAGGAGCAGGAGGAGGAGGAGGAGAAGGAGGAGGAGGGGGAGGAAGAGAGGAGGAGGAGTGGTATAAGGGCAAAAGGGAGGAAGACCAGGAGGAGGAGGAGCCAGCGTCCCCAGGGGCAGATTCCCCCTTCCGCGCCTATGCGGTCCACCGTGCGCCCCCCGAGGCATTCAGGGGCACGGCGTCGCTGGCGAGGAGCTGGAGTCAGCGGTCACGAACGAGGAAACGTCGTTGGACGCCCGGGGAGCCCGGGGAGTCTGCGCCAATCTCCGCGCCCGCGGGGGCGACAGAGACGACGACGGCGGGGGGGGCGCCGCGTCAAAAGAGTCGGCGACCATGGCGCCGAACGGGTCGGGGCTGCCGCGCAAGATGAGGAAGCCGACGTGAGCGAGGATAGCCTTGCTGAAGGAACGTAGCTGCAGGTCTTAATGTCGAAAGAAGCTGGCGCCTTTGGACGCAGGTTGGCGCCAGGCGGCTCGTGGAGAGGCGTTGGCCAATGAGGGGCGCCACATCGTGCCAGTCATGCGGGACTTGAAGCAGCTATACGACCACATGTCACACCATCGTTTTTGGGCAGTGGCACATGCAGTATAATATCCTCTTTCAGTGTTGCCGTGCAGCCTCAACTAATACAAGTGGCCTCGCAAGGTTGCCCCTGATGGATCGACGTCAGATCCGAGTTGCCCACATCGGGGGATTATGGCAGGCACTGGAACAGCTACACACGAGGCCAAGGTGTTCGTGATCCCAGCAGGCACTGACTGGATGAGCCAGACGGCGCCAGAACATGTTCCAGAGCTCGGGCAAGCCACGCTCACGGTTCACCCCGATAATCTATCACCCAACGTTGCAGCGCAAGGTTTCCACGACTCTACGAAGGTTGTGCACAACAAAGCGGTGCGCCTGGCGCAGCTTGTAGATGACTTGTTGGGGGTGCCACTTGCAAAGAAGAAAGCTTGCTCCACTGGGACCTCGAAAGCACTGATGGATACATGCAGGGCCACATTCGGCAATCCGGCAGGAAAACAATATAATGCATCAAAAATCATGGAGTGTACTATGCACCTGGACGGCATCGACAACAGCCTGGCAAATGGATGGGTGCGACGACGTCGCTAGGCCACACGCTTAAAGAAACTGAGCGCCATGACGGGTTCTGGCCGACGGATAGGAAGGATCGTGTTGGGAGGGATTCAAGCCTCAGCATCGCATGCAGGTGAGGTGCTTGGATCTACACAGGCTGCACGCAGACATCTTCGGCGAGCAGGTGCGAAAGCCTTAGGATTCCTTGGTGGATATCTGGACATTGGTCGGGCGTCGTTTGCAGAACAGGACCCACTAAATAAACAAAACAGCTGGCACATTGACAAGATATGCTAAAGAGTGACGGCATGCAGCAGATCCAGATTTGATTCAGTGAGGTGGTCTCAACGCTCGAGAGCTGGTGAATGCTTTGCTGCCACACAAAATGACCTACTTCAATTTCCTGCTGGTGCGGCGTGGCGTCGCAAGACCTCGGGGCCCGATGGGAAGCGCCGAATGATCATGTCGTCTTGGGTTTGGATGGGGAACACCATCATCTGAACGCAACGCCCCCTGCCCAGATAGCTAAACGTCTTATCGATGGTTTAGGAAGCAGGTTGTTGCAACAAGTTGTGGAACGGGTTCTTGCTGAGTCCCAAGACCGGAGGTCCCAGGAGATCCGTGAGAGAGGATTGTGGAACCTGGGGCCGAAGCGTCTGCTGGCCAACGAAACTTTTCCCAATAATGATAAGCGCCAGAAGCGCCCGCTAAAACAAGTTATTACGGGTAGGTGCCCCACCGGGCTCAAACTTCAGAGCCGGGGATAAAATATGCACCAGAGGGTTGCGCACCCACTGCCAGAGGCCCGACTCGACCTTCCACCGAACCTGGGAATGCCCGCGGCTGGAGGCTGAACGTGGGGCCCAAGATGAGGAGGTTCGGGCTATGGCGCTCCACCATGGGCCAGGGGACCCCCTCATTTCCGCCCTTCGGATGCCTTCCCCTCCTGTCACCACCAAGCCCGTGAAGGAGCCAACCATAAACCTCTTTGGTGCCCAAGGGCCCTGTGAAGAGTTCGAGTGTTCCAAGACTGGTCGCTACTACAACAATGGGAGTTGCTGCGATGGGGCTGTTCCAGGAATGGCTACAGCATGCTGGGTCATTGTTGAGGCTTCCTCCGGCTGGCAGTTACTCCGCGGGATTTCGGGGCCTGGCCCTGATGGGGTGCCTCGAACTGCGTCCGCGACCGAACATCATGCTACCTGCATGTTTGAAAAATGTATCGAACCTGCGGCTACCCCAAAGGTGGAGCCCGAACCCCTGATGACAGCATCCCTCGCGACCGTCCTCCACACAGATTGCCTTGCCGTTGTTTGGACGGGCCAGCCATGTTGTGCGACCCAGGGCTCACTCGCCGCTTCATGCTGGAAATTGGAGGATCGCTGGTCGGCCCACGTATACTGTTGTGAAAGTTAAGGCCCACCGTGATGAATCTCTGGCGACATACGTTCAGGATCTGTGTCACATCAAAGGTAATCACCAGGCTGACCACGCAGCGAAGATAGCTGCGCAAGCCAACAATATGTACGTGGAAGATTGAAAGTGCTTCGCAGCTGCTCGGAAACTGTACAAGCAAGTTGCCCTGAACCTGTTCCAGATACTTGTGCACTGGGTCCCTCTCATGGACCTACATGGCTCCTCGGATCGGTGCCCATGCTCTGCCTGGAACGGTGTGAAGTGGAGGTGTGCCCAGTGTCACAGGATCGGAGCCAGACTGCTAGCCAATTCGAAGTGCTTTCGTGTCCCCCGTCCTTGCAGGAGCTCGTGAAGTAGGCTGACCAACCGAGCTCCTCACACTTGTTATGGTGTGCCCTGAAAGAGAGGACGGGGATCCCTGTTTTGTTTTGTGAGAGCTGTGAATTTGTGGGGGGTGCTAGGGCCCGCCACTTGCGGAGGGCATGTCGCCCATCGGCCACCTCCCTAAAGGACTTGAGGAAGCCGTGGCACGGGAGCCTGCTTGGGGATCGGGGCTTCAGACCTCGGAAGCCTGGCCCCTCCATGCCAAGTCACCTGCGTCATCTTTTCCTGCCCCCTCTTCTAGGTTGCTCCTCTGCCGCAAGGAAAGTTCGTTGACAACAAGCTGAAGGCGCGCGCTTTGCTTCTTGGTAGGGTCTCAGATCGACCAGGTCTCAGTTGGTTCACTGGTTCGCAGGAGGAGAAGGGGGAGGAGGAGGAGGAGCGAGACAAGGAGGAGGAGGAGGAGAGGGAGGAGGAGGAGGAGGAGGAGGAGGAGGAGGAGTCGAATAGTTTAAGAGATCAGGTAGGATTGGGATCCCAAAAGCTCGTCGGGGCTTCCACGAGGATGGAAGAAGTTGATGTGCCTTCGCCACGCGGGGTGAATCCAAAAAGGTAAGCTATGGGAGGACGACGATGACGACGACGTCGACAAGAACGACGACGACAACGACAACGACAAGGACGACGACGACGACGACGAAGAAAATGACGACGATGACGACGACGACGAAAACGACGACGACGACGGCGAAGAAGAAGACGACGACGACAAAACGACGACGACGACGAAAACGACAACGACGACGACGACAACGACGACGACAACGACGACGGCGACGACGACGACGACGACGACGACGACGACGGACTCAGGCCTCCGGCGGCCGTTCGGGACGATCCAGGCACCGCCGGAACGTCCTCGGCGGCGCGCAACTGCTGGAACACTGCCGAGAACCTGCGACAACGTCCGAAGTGCGAAAGCCTACGAAATGGTAGGGACGACGACGACGATGACGACGACAGCGACGGCGAGAACGAGGGCGAGGGCGACCGGCGACTCCTCGGCTGGAGGCGACTTTGGCGGCGCCACGCCAAAGCCCTGCTCGATGGCATCGTCCTGAGCCTCCTGGGGGGACCGTGCGGTACGGACGCCAGGCCTGTGCGAATACAAAATCGAGATCCTCCTCCTCCTCCTCCTCCTCCTCCTCCTCCTCCTCCTCCTCCTCATCCGCCTCCTTGCTCCTCCTCCTTGCTCCTCGTCCTCCTCCTCCTCGTCCTCGTCGTCCTCCTCCTCCTCCTTCTCCTCCTCCTCCTCCCACCACCACCACCGCCATCATTATCATCATCAGCAGCAGCAGCATCAGCAGCGGCAGCATCAGCATCAGCATCAGCATCAGCATCAGCATCATCTTAATCAGCAGCATCAGCATCCGCATCAGCTTCAGCATCAGCATCATCGTCATCGGCATCATAATCAGCAGCATCATCAGCAGCATGATCAGCAGCATCAGCATCAGCATCAGCATCATCATCACCATAAGCATCATCAGCATCATCACCATCACCGCCACCACCATCATCATAATCAGCATCATGCATCACCACTGATTTGCTTTCATGGGCGCAGTTCTGGCATTCATTCACAATCTCTGCTTTCGGTGACCTTGCCCCTTTTCAACCCGCGGGCCCAGATTGATCGCGTCAGGATATACACAGATGCGACGTCAGGAGCGTTTAAGCATCATGGTCAGCGCTGCATGCCTGCTTGGGCGTTCTGTGTGCTCGCTGTCACCACTGTCGGGCTCTCCCTCATCGGATACCTAGCAGGACCATTGCAAGGCTTGGGCGCTTCCGACACCAGAACCCACCTACGAGGGGAGCTCGAGGCGGCCATATGGGCCATAGCGTGGCTAATGCAGGCTCCCT